AATGAGGGCTCACACCAGTCCCAGGCTGCAGTCACCGCTAAGGGACTGAAGAGTGGGGAGATAGCTGCTTCCACCAATGGAAGAAGATGCCCTAAGGTCAAACCGAATCTGAGATGCTATGGGCGCCCCCCACATGCACATCTCAGCCCCGGTAACGGCTCCTCACGTGGAGGCACTGGGACACCAGTCTAACCGAATTGTTGGTGTACAACAGGAGATAATGTGATGATAAGACTTTTCCCATCAATGAGTAGGCTAAGACTTGTCTTCACAAAAAGTCCCAGCCAGAGTGGACTTGGGCCTGATACGCACACACACAGGGAAACTAAGATCTGTTTATAAGCATCAGACTTGGGCTGTGACCAGTGGAACACACCCTGTAACCCTAGCATGAGCTCAAGGCCAGCCCAAACTACACAGTGAGACCCTGTCTCAAAAGAACAGAAGTGAAGAAGGGAAACTCTGAAGTCTTCACTTCAACTCTCAAAGTTGGTAAGATCAAACAAAAACCGGGGCTAGTTCCAACTCTACTCAATAAACTTTCTTTCCTCAGCCTCAGGACCATAGCACATGTGATATCACAAAGATGCACACAAAAACACAAGCATCTATAGTACTGCACACAGCCACTGTTCCCATACCATCGATTCTTCCATCAGCTACTCAACCACAAGTGACAAGAACTCAAGCTGCGGGCCCCTTGTCAAAAGCCTGAGACTTCACCAAGATCCGGGCAGTTAGTCTGGAGCTCCACAACCCCACCTCCCGCTTACAGATCTGGACCAGGGACAGCTGCCCAGGATCAGCTCTGCAAGGCTTTAGGCACAGACTGAAATAGAAGCCAGGAGGCCCCAGAAAACAAATGCTAGACAGACAAAATGCAAATCTCTTCTTAGAGGAAGACACAAATAGACATTCCCTTTGCTTATAAAGCTAAGTTCTACATCACTTCTCTACAGCCAAGTTTCTATAATCCCCTAGTACGCTAGTAAGAGACGTCAGACAAAGTATGAACTGGGTCAGTGAATAAAATCTCCAAGGTCTACCAGCAGAGTGAAATCTTAGGATTAAACCTGCTACAAACCCTGGAAAGCTTGCCACCTGCTGGTAAGTACTACTGCACTCAAGAAGGAAGCACAACAGGACCTGCGTTAATTGCATCATTCCAAACATTTCAGGACAGGCATTCGACCTACCTCTCTCCCTCAATGCAGACACTGTTAGCAGAAACCCACCCCATAATTCCAAACCACCGTTTCTCACGCTCTCCTCCTGATCCCATTACCTGGTAAACAAAGCAAATGGTGGGTGCTTGACAACCATATAGGAACTTGACGTCGATGACATGCAATTCCTCCAGGCGGATGTTAAAGGCCTTGAGTTCTTTGTTGTCTCGATCTAGCGGAATAACCTTAAAAAGGCCATCATAGAGTCGCAGGCCGATCATTCGACACTCGGGGTCAATGATACCAATAATGCCAGTCTCTGAGGGGCGGCCAATACGGTCCTGAGAAACAAAACAGGGATTAGGAGAGTGCCTCAATACCCACACAGTAACAGAGGACACTTTCCCAGGATGACTTCAGGAGAGGTAGCAAAACTGGTGACATAAGCTTGCTGGGCCAGGAAGCCCAAATGTCAAGGTGTACATTTCCATTTAACACTGAAGCTCAATGATTAGATGTCTTTTCTCGTTTCTCTGATCATGCTGCAGGCTACCCTGACACCGCAATTCTCTCCGCTGAACAATGAATCACTTCGCCCTCCCAGGGAAACTCTCAGTCTGAGCAGCTGCCTCACCTGGACATTGCCATGGGCTCGTGTGATGATGTCGATGCTCTCCCCACTCTGCTTATACTCCAGAATGCAGGCATTGTACTTAGCTGTCAGGATAAACAGCAAGTCCTTGCTCTCCCCCTGGAAACCAAAATCATACCATCAAAAGAGGTTCTTGCAAAAAAAAAAAAAAAAAAAAAAAAGAGGTTCTTGCAAAAACAGGAACAACCTGTCCTGCCTTTATGGATCATCCCTTAAGCATACTAAGCTCTTTAAAAACATTCCAAATACTTCTTTCTCCTGAAAGAGAAAATACACTACCAGGTGAGTTGCACCAGCCACACACATGCCCTAAGGGTATGTACAAAAGGCCAGAACTGAAGCTGATAAACAGCTAGTCCTCACTCTCCTGACTCCAGCTTTGGGCTCTAAATATACTGCTCATCTATTTTGATCAAGCTGATCTCAAGCATTCCATTCAAATTCTGAAAGATAAATCTAATGTCTGCCCCCTCCTCTCCAAGTATTTGGAGAAAGGAAAAAATGTGATAATAATCACCAAGGCTACAATGGATCTCCGAAGACTTACTTAACACAGACCTCAAAAATGTAAGTGCTTCATTCAAAGAGTTACAATTATTTTGTTTTTGTTTTTTTGAGACAGGATCTCGCTAGGCAGTTCAGGCTGGCCTTGAGCTCACTTTGTTGCCCAGGTTAGTCTTGAACTTGCAACAATCCTCCTGCCTCAGCCTCTGGAGTGCAGAGATTACAGGCATGGCCCAGCTTTCAAAGAGTTATAATTAAACAGCTGAACTCATTGGGTATTTTTGCTGTTGCTGTTAGATTCATTTAAGATACAATGAAGCGATGTAGGGGTTAACTGGACAAAAACATTTGAATTAGCATGATAATCACTGATGACCAAAGAAACTGTTAATGTAACAGTGAATGCCTACCATCACCAGGCCATATTACTGAATCATTTAATCTTCAAAAGAACTCAAGGGGATTAGATACTCTTACTCCCACCCATAGACAAAAATCAAGGCTGTGAAAAGTATCAAACATGGCAACTAAAGTGGCACCTAAAGGGAGAACTAATAAAGAATGAAGCAAAGACTACCCCGTTTTAGACCTTCTCGATCACTACGCAATATGGCAACCCACATTTCAAACTGCTTTCTTTCTTCCCAGAAGTCAACTTGATAAGATTTCCCTTAGGGAATCTTTCCTACTTCTGGAAAGTTTATTCAGGAAGAGTAGTACAGAAATCTGCCACTCAAAAACAAGTGACTTTCTCTGCTAAACCTTATGCCATCCATCTCAAGTGATCATATAAAACAGCCTGTGACCTACAGCTGTCCCAGTGGGGAACACTTACCTTGGGCCTGAAAAGCTCCATGACAGCAATCTTCCCATACATGCCCACTTCTTTGACTGGCCGAAGACCCTCTGCAGTGACCACATAGATCTCTAATCTTGTGTTTTTGGCAATCAACAGGTTTAAGTCTTCTGCTGAAGTAAAGTGTCCTGAAAAAAATAGATCCTCTTTTAAAGCCAGAAGGGCCTCACAAGCCCTTGTATATCAATCCTACCACCGCCTACCTAATTACCTCCAGAATTCTCATCTACCTCACAGATTTCCCTGATTCCTTCCATTCACTCCCCTTCTTGCCAAATCCAGCACCTCCAAGGGTCTCACTTCCTGCACTCAACAGAGCTGCTTCCATAGTCAGACTCAAAACTGGACTGGACACCTTAGGGTAGCACGTCTTTCAACAACTGTGAAAACCTTAAGGATGACTCTGTTGGCTTTTACTTTCCTACTACTGAACAGTAGGCAAATGTAACTGAGAAAGCTCAAGAAACTGTTCATCTCTTCCAGTCCTTATCCAAAACTTCACAAAAGAACTTGCCAAACAGGTCGGGTCAAATGAAGAAATCCCCAGAGCTTTTCTCTATTTTCTCTACTCCTCTTCCCGTCCCTGCAATCTACCTCTACCATGCTAAGCCTCAGGCAGCTCTCTGAACAGACTTCCGTTCTGCAATCGCTGTGAGGATTTACATAAACACACAGGTTTGGGGGTTGCATATTCAGCAGAGAAGTTCAGAATGAACGCTCTCCGGTTTGGGGCGTCCATGTCTTCAAGGATGCTCGCACACAGTCACCAAGGCAAACGCGGCAAACGCGGCAAACGCCAGGCTAACCAAACCCTGTCCTCCAGCAGCGCCCTGCAGTAAACAGCCCCAGGCAAAAAGGTGGGTCTGGAAAGGGCTCCGGTCCCACCCCAGCGAGGGCCGGCAAGGCTCGCATTCCAGCATCTGCTTGCGTCCCCCTCCCCGGGCTCCCCGACATGAAATTCTGATCCCCAAGGCGCCATCGCTACGGTGTTTTCCCCCGGCCACAGGCCAATCTCGGGGCTCAAGACACACAGCTCTCACTCGCGCCGGGTCCCAGGGGCGGCGCAGCCCCGGAGGCCAAGTGACCTCCTAGGGGGAAGGGGATCCGCGGCAGCAGCCTCGCGTCCCCACGCGCACGCTGGGGCCAGTCCCTCGAGGTCGCGGGCCGGGGAGGCTGCAGGCCGCGCGCCCCCGTGCCGGCCGGGTCCTGCTGTGCCCAGGGCCGCGGGCCTCCCTAGGCCTCGGTCCCTCCAGCTCCCGCTCGCCGGGGTCCCCGGCCGCCTCACCGGTCACGCAGCCGTTGACGGCGGTGGGCTTCTGCGCCGTTACTACGTAGTTGTACGACATGTCGAGGCCCGGGGCGGCCAGTCGGGACCCGAGCCGGACGATCGCAGGATGGACACCTCGGAGAGACAGGCAGCCCCCGCCCGCGCGAAGCCAACTCCGCGGCTGATGCCTCCGCCCCAGAGACACGTTGCAGGCCAGAGCGGCCGGCGCGGGGCATCACGGGACGGCCTCCCGGGCCCCCTGGAGGACTCACGGAGCCGGAGGCGGCCAACCAAGGGAGGCCACGCCCCTCCTCGGCCCCGCCCCTGCTCCCTAGTACCCGGATGAGAGCGCGCCTTTCGGGTCCTCGAGAAGCAGAGCCGGTGGCGAGAGCGGGTGGGGATCGCGCACCGACTTCTTAGCTGACCTTCTCTCCTGCTCCGCGTCCCCAGCCCGCCGTCAGCCCCCGACTCTGCCGCTCCATCGGTCTAGGAGCCCTCGGGGCTGTTCCCCCGAAACCGTAAGGACCGCAGAGACTGGCGGGGCGCGAGGTGATCGGATTTGCGTCCTACCCGGGCTCACCCGGCCTCCACCCCCACCGGTGCCCACGCCTGGCCCCACCTCCGGTTATTCGTCAGGCTTGCAAGGGCCTGGCATTATCGCCGCCCCCCCACCCCCACCCCCACAAATCCCGACCCCCGGCCCTGGGTTTGGCTGGTGGGGACGTTGGTGATCCGAAAGGCCCTTCAAGCTCTGTCGGACAGCAGACCTGCAGGGTGCTGGGGAGAAGCCCGCTCCTGCCGTACAAGTGAGGAAGCTGGGGCGGAGGGAATCGGTTACCTAAAATCGTACCCGCCCCCGGGTGAATCCAGACATCGCCAGTGCGGAGCGGGTCTGGGAAGTGTACATACACGCACACACACTCGTGGGTGAGGTTTCCCCGCGGGTTCCCAAAGCGGAACCCTGTCTGACTTGGAGCACTGCATTATCAGCAGAAAGAGCGAAGGCTTTATAGAAAGGCTGGACATGCACCTGAGTCCTGACTCTCACCAGGAGAACCTTGGACGATGCCTGGGGCTCTGAGGCTGTTTCCTAGCAGTAAAACAGGGTAACAAAGGCTGGCTCCTTCCTGGTGTTGTGCCAAGGCCAACAAGAGCAAGTGTGTGATCTTTAACTTTTTTTACTGCAAGAGAAATCTGTGTAAAACGAAATTACACGTGGCTAACTTTGCTCCCTGATTATGAACTGGGTGCTGTTGCCTGGCATAAGCCAGCCCTGCACCCAACAGAGACCGATCTGTCCACCGGCAGCCAGGTGCACGTGTGAACCTTGGTCAGCCCCACGCTGCTCTCCATCCCGAGCCCACGTACTAGAGTTTGGACTTGGTCCGAAGTCTGGGGCAGCTCCCTAATCCACAAGGCCCTGGAGGCTCAACTGTGCCAGTGGGCTGTCGGCCTTCAGTGGCTCCAACTGCCCCCTCCCTGCAGGTGCTGGTGCCAGCTCCGCTGTGCTCAGACCGGGTGGCACCCACAGGACTTCCAGCCTGCAGCTGCTCCGTGCAGAGGGAGAGGCAGCGTGCTTCAGAGCCCCCACCATGGTGAGTCCGGGCCAGGGCAGGAGGGGCACTGCTGCCCTGGGCCCCAAGTCCCTTATGCCTTGACCAGCACCTGCTGCCTCCCGACGTGCAGAGGTTAAAAGAGAGGCTCGTCCCCACTGTTGGGCTTGTCCCTGACTCTCTCCTGTGTCTTGCTGGTGGCTGTCCCAGCCACGGCTAGGGTGGCCTCTGCCTCCCTCTGAAACCCATCTCTGTCTGCCTGTGTCTGGTCATGCGTGCAGTTAGAACACTGACAGTTACTTGTTCTGAGTAGTTACTGATTGTCACAGAAGGAATCAGGAAGAACGAGCTCTCCTCCTTCTGAGCCTCGGGCAGGGTGAGCTGGTCCTGCAGCTGACTGTGCAGTGTGGCAGGCTCCCACGCCCCTGGGGTTTGCTCCAGGCCACTCTTAAAGCTGGTTTGCGCTAAAGTAAACTGTGAACATCCCTGGTCCAGAATCCAGCCAGACTCTCACTGTGTGACCTTTTACAGAAAGCCTGGCCTCTGAGAGCCTCTTCTTCATCAGCAGTGTGGCAGGTTAAGGCCTGCTGCCGAGGGGCAGGGTTGATCAGACCAGGTCCCAGGGCCTCACTTAGTGCCTGACCTCCTTTCCTGTTCATCCCTCATTCCTGGGGGGAGGGGGCAGCACTGTCTCCAGGTCCTTCTCTGGCTCCGGGGTAGGAATGGTTGAGAGTCTTAGGCAGGACAGATTCCTGGAAGGCAGTGGGGGCAGAAGCTGGGCTTGGAGTTGACAGCGGCTCACAGCTTTGTGTCATGTCCCTGACCCGCGGACCCTTAGAGCCACCAGCCTGTGCCCTTCCTCCGGCAAGACCTTTGCCCCCCTGCTACCCTGCAGCCAGCCACGCAGGAAAGCAGCGCATGGCCACAGCAGGACCGGCCTCCGAGCCAGGCAGACCCACACCTTGCTGCCTGCGTGACTGCCTCTGTTTGCTCCCTAGGCTGATCTTTCTTCTCATGGGGTTGCTGGCTAATTAAATGAGACACGTTCAAAAGCGCTTAGGAACGACCCAGCTCCTAGGCACTGCTCAGCAAACAGCCAGTCTTACCCCTTGGCTTGCCCCCAGCTGAGCTTCTGTCCTGGGCCGTATGCAGCTGGCATGGCCCTGGACCTGGCCAGACTCAGGATGGGCTGGCAGGAAGGCAGCAGGGCTGCGCTTGGCATAAGGAACCCGAGACTACTGGTGGTTCTAGGAAGGAGGTATCACCGGAAGCCACCTTGCTAGATCCTGGCTGAGCTGCAGGCCACCAGGTGGCGCTAGGCGCCCTCCTCTGGGCCCACAACAGGCCGGGTCTCTGCTTGAGGACAAAGGAAAAGGCTGAATCCCAGGGTGCAGCTCTGTTAGCCTCCTGGAAGGAAGAGCAGCTCCTTCCTGTTGAGCCTTTTCTGCCTCGCAGGTGCACACTGTCGCCTAGTGACCTAGAATCTCAGAGAAAGAACTGGACTCACAACAGGGGTGCAGCTCATCACAGGCGAGGGGGGACTTGAGCCCAAGTCCCTGTGACTGCAGAACCTGGGCTTGGAAAGCCTTTGCCCTGGGTGTGGGGCCTGCCTGGTCCTCTCCCCTGGCCAAGGGCAGCAGCCTGAGGCTCTTCCTGTGCTGGAAGCAGGTGTGCACCCCACGTTCATTAGTCTGTTATACTGGGGACTCTAACGCGTCCATTTTTTTTTGTATTGAAGTAATGTTTTAGGAAAAACTGAAACCACAGTACAAAAACTTTATCAGTTAGGCACTAAATAAAGAGTCACCAAGAAGTAAAGTCAAAGAAGCTGGGCGTGGTGGCACATGCCTATAAACCCAGAGCTCAGGAGCCTGAGGCAGGAGGATCGATATAAGTTCAGGGCCAGCCTGGGCTACACAGTGAATTCAAGGCCAGGCTGGACTACATGGCAAAATGCTATCTCAAACACAAGAAGAAAAGTCACAGAATCACCTTCTTGATGAAACAGGGCCCAAGTCAAGGCACTGCTGTGTCCCTAGAGGTCCTGTGTCAACATGGAGAGGGGTCCTCAGCCCAGCAGCGTGGCTGGCAGCCTGGAGGGCCCCGCTGACTGCGCCCCAAGCTGCATCCTCACCCCTTTCCTACAGACTTCCAAGAAGCTGGTGAACTCAGTGGTGGGCTGCGCTGAGGATGCACTGGCCGGCCTGGTGGCCAGCAACCCCGGCCTGCAGCTCCTGCAGGGCCACCGGGTGGCGCTGCGCTCCGACCTGGACAGCCTCAAGGGCCGGGTGGCACTGCTGTCTGGTGGAGGCTCCGGCCACGAGCCTGCCCATGCAGGTGAGCGAGCTGGGGAGAGTCACTGGGGCACAGGCTTCCTTGGGGCTGGCCTTCTGTGCCTCTGGGAGTATGAGGTCAGGCCTCAGGGTCTCTCAGGTCTTCCCCGTCAGAGTTGGTGATGCTGAGGCCCCTGGCCTCTCCACCTGGCCCTCCTGCCTCTTCCTGAAGCAGAGCTCCTGTACCCTACCCGAGTCCCACACAGGGGTGGCCCTGGGCTGTCTCAGATCGGCAGTAGGTCCTGAGAGCTCCTGGAAGGCGAGGACCAGCTTTGTCAGTGGTTCTCCCATCTCCCTTCTCCAAGTCCTGCGAACCCACTGAGTGCCTGACACTGACATGGGCACAGGTCTACCGTGACCCTGCAGACAGCCTCTGTTCTCCTGGGGCTCTCGTCCTGCTCAGGGGACACAGGCAGCAGCAGTCAGGAAACACAACAGCGAGTGTGAGGGAGGCGCCTGAGTCACAGGGGTGCAGACGCTGCCTCCCGGCACCCACACCCGCCCTGTGTCCCCAGGGTTCATCGGAAAGGGGATGCTGACAGGTATCATCGCGGGAGCAGTGTTCACCTCCCCGGCTGTTGGCAGCATCTTGGCAGCCATCAGGGCGGTGGCCCAGGCAGGCACAGGTCAGCTGGCACGGGGCTCCTACAGGCAGACGCACAGGGGCGGAGAGGGCAGACCCTGACAAGCCTGGCCCCTCCGGCAGTGGGGACCCTTCTTATTGTGAAGAACTACACCGGGGACCGGCTCAACTTTGGCCTGGCCCGCGAGCAGGCTCGTGCTGAGGGCATCCCCGTGGAGATGGTGGTCATCGGGGACGACAGTGCCTTCACCGTCCTGAAGAAGGCTGGGCGGCGGGGCCTCTGTGGCACCGTGCTGATCCACAAGGTGAGCTGCCATGCCACCCACCCCTCCGCCTGACCCAGCAGCCCCCAGACCTCACCCACACAGCTGCCCTGTGGGCTAACCCAGTGCCCACGTGACATGCTCTCCTTGGCCCGGCTTGTCTGTCCTCGCCAGGGGTCAGGGCGCCTCTGCTCTGCCCACTGCCCCATGTGCCCCCCACTGCCACCAAAGCGACTGAATGAAGACGCAGGGCTGGGGCCCGGCTTGGTGGCAGAGCACGTGCCCTGTGCACAAGGGCCTGGCGGTCCTGGCAGCCCTGGCCGCCTCTCGTGCTCCCCCTGGGCTGGGCTCTCCCTGCAGCCTGTGGGAGCCGCCTGTCTGGCCCAGTGAGCTGCCGGGTGCTCTCCCTGCGCGAGTCAGCGGGAGCCCCTCCCTGTGCTTCTGTGACAAGGACTGTGGACTCCCTGTCACCTCTTCCCCGTGTCTGCTTCCCACCCCTACACCATCCCAGACTGTGGCCCTGGAGGCAGGGAACGTGTGTCCCCATCTCTGCACCCCCAGTGCACACCAGATGCTTGCGTCAGCCAGGTGGGGGTCAGCTAGGTGAGCCTCTGGCCCCGGGAGTCCCTACCGGCTGTGTGACATTGGACAGTCCGCTTCGCGCTGGAGCCCATCCTCCCCCTGTAAAGTCCCGGGTGGCTCCAACCACCCAGAACTGTTGAGGACCCAGGAAGGCGTGTCATGAGTGAGGGGAAGACTTGTGTCCAAGTGCTGTGGGTCTGGTGGGGCGGGAGACCCTGATTCCCTCCTGCAGGCCCCTCGTGGTGGGGGACTCCCTCCCACAGGGCTATCTGGCTGCAGGTGGCAGGGGCCCTGGCTGAGGCGGGCATGGGGCTGGAGGAGATCATCGAGCTGGTGAACGCGGTTGCCAAGGCCATGGGTGAGTGGAGTGCCTGACCTGGGACTTGAGGGAGTTCCTGCCGGTGGGTGGGGCTCCCTATTGTTCTCGGGTGGGAGGGAAGGGCTCCCCGGGAGCACGGCTGGGTTTCTCCATCCCCGCGGAGAAGACTTCAGGCTGTGTCTCCGAGGCATCGCTGCTGCCCATCCTCATCCTGGGTGCCCATGCCTCGTTGTCCTAGGTACCCTGGGCGTGAGCCTGTCCTCATGCAGTGTCCCCGGCTCCAGACCCACCTTTGAGCTCGCTGCCGGAGAGGTGGAACTGGGCCTAGGTAAGCCCAGCTCCCTGTCCCTGCCTACACCTCCCTGCCAGGCCTGGAGCCATCTCATGGGTCCTGCGGACTCCAGCAGCCACGCCCTATCTAGGGTGTTCAGGGCTCCTTGGCCACGGCCATGGTGCTGTCCCCTCCCTCTCCTCTGAATCTGAACTGATATGTCAGTGTCCCGGGCCCTCACATTAAAGCACTAGGACTCTGGCTGTCCCCACCACCCAGTCCTGTCCACTGCCAGCCCTGCCCCAGTGCCAGGCCCGCGCCATGCACTCAGTCTTTGATGAGACAGGAGGAGCCTGCCCCAGGTCTGGCAGGTCACTGTGGCTGCCTCTTTCTGCAGGGATCCACGGGGAAGCAGGTGTGCGCCGGGTAAAGGTAGGTTGATGCCTGTCCCCAGCCAGCCGAGGCCGAGGCCCCCAGACGTGCCTCACCTCTGCCCCCATGACAGATGGCGACCGCTGATGAGATTGTCATGCTCATGCTTGACCACATGACCAACGCCTCCAACGTGTCCCGTGTGCCCGTGAAGCCAGGTGAGTGGCCTCCCATCCCCAGGCCCCAGCCTTCCCACCCCTGGCTCTCAGTGGGTGTCACCCCGGCCTGCAGGCTCCTCGGTGGTACTGATGGTCAACAACCTGGGAGGCCTCTCGTTCCTGGAACTGGGCATCGTGGCTGACGCTGCCATCCGCTGTCTGGGTGAGCCATATGGGGCCCGGCCCTGCAAAACTGGGCATGAGACGGGGCAGGGGAGGGGCTCGGGGACCTGCAGCAGGACCGAGCAGTCAGCCTTAGCCAGGTCGCCACGCTGCCACTTCTGAGCTCGGTCCTGTCTGTGCCTGGGAGTGACAGTCACAGTTCTGCGGGTAGGTGGGGCACTTGGCGCAGCCCCTGCACCCACAGGGATGTAGTGCTGGCCCCTGAGGGTGTGCTGGCAGGGAGAGTGGCCATCACCCTGATGGGAAGCATTTGGGCCATCTCCCCACTGGGTCCTGTTTGGGGTTCTCCGAGTCTGTTCCTGGTGCCCACCCCCAACTTGTGGGCCTCCATGTTGGCATTTCAGAGGGCCGTGGGGTGCATATTGCCCGTGCCCTAGTGGGCACCTTCATGTCCGCCCTGGAGATGCGTGGTGTCTCTCTCACCCTGCTGCTGGCAGATGAGTCCCTCCTGAGGCTGATAGGTAAGACTGGGAACCCGGGGTCCACCAGGCCAGCCCCTCGGAGCCGACCCGGCCATCCAGTCTTGCTAGCTTCTCCAGCCGTCTCCAGCTCGTAAGTGGCTCTAGAGGCGTTGGCACAGGGTCTGTCCTTGGATCTGGCTGGCCCTTCCACGGGGACGACCCCACGTGTCTCCTTGTGCATGGTGGCACTGGTGCCTGCCCCTTCCCTGAGTGCTGGGTGGGTCCTCCCTCCCTGTTGCTAGTGTGTCTGAGGTCGTTGTGTCATCCCAGACGCTGAAACCACCGCAACAGCCTGGCCGCACATGCCCAAGGTGTCCGTGACCGGGTGGACACGGAGCCGGCCAGCCCCCATCGCACCTCCAGAGGCCCCTGACACTGCTGCTGCCGGAGGTACCAGGCCTGCTGCTGGGGAGGGACGGCGTCCTTGGTGGCCCAGGGGATGCAGGGTGGGCAGCAGGCATTCAGGGCCCTGACACTGTGGATAGTGAGGAGCCGACAGGCGCTACCCTCCATCTTCCCCAGGTGTGGCCTCGCAGAGGGCAGCACGTGTGCTGGAGCAGGTGTGCACCACTCTTCTGGGCCTGGAGGAGTCCCTGAATGCTCTGGACCGGGCAGCTGGTGACGGGGACTGTGGCACCACCCACAGCCGCGCAGCCCGAGGTCGGAGCAGGGCCTGGGGGTGGCGGGAGGGACTGGAAGGGCACCAGCTATCGGGCAGACACAGGACAAATCCCAGGGCATGCAGAGGGCTCCTGGGGGTGCCATCTTCCTTTGCCATATGACAGCATGCAGAGAGCCCTAGCATCCCTATTCCAGTTTCCTTAGGAGGAAGGCTTGTCATGCTACAGGCATGGGGGTTGTCACCCTGGGAAAATGGGAGCCTTCACTTGGGACTCGCTCTGCTGCCCACCCTGCCTGCCTACCATTCATTCAGGAAATGCGAGATGGCATCTACACGGGCCAGTATGGCACGGCTGACTCTGGCGTCAGAGCCAGCAAAGCAGCCAGGAGTCCCTGTCCTGGCACAGGTGCCCCTCCAAAGGATACATAAGCTGCTGGTGCAGCTCAGGAGAGGGGTAGGAGGGCGTCACCCCAAGTCCCCGCACTGTCTGCCTGCAGCCATCCAGGGGTGGCTAGAGGAGGGCCCGCCGCCCGCTAGCCCTGCACGCCTGCTGTCCAGCCTGTCTGTACTGCTGCTGGAGAAGATGGGGGGCTCCTCCGGGGCGGTAAGTGGCAGCAGCCGGGTGGGAGGGCTGCAGGGCAGAGGGCTGTGCTGGGCAGCTTAGTGTCCTGTGCCCCCAGCTCTATGGCCTGTTCCTGACCGCGGCTGCCCAGCCCCTCAAGGCCAAGACCGACCTGGCGGCCTGGTCTGCCGCCATGGACGCCGGCCTGGATGCCATGCAGAAGTGAGCTGTTCCCAGTGCGCTGTGCAGGGGGTGACGGGGGCACCTGCTCTGGGCCAGCCCCACCCCTCCCCCACTGTGACCCGCGCTGAGCCCATGGTTCTCTTTCCCGCCAGGTACGGGAAGGCTGCACCAGGCGACAGGACCATGGTGTGTACTCCCTCCTCCTTGGAGCCTGCAGTCCCTGAAGGCCACCTCAGTGGCAAGGCCTCCCCTCAGTCCCTTCTCTGTCCCCCCTGCTCTAGCTGGACTCCCTGTGGGCAGTGGGGCAGGAGCTCCAGGCCTGGAAGTATCCTGGGGCCGACCTTCTGCCTGTGCTGACCAAAGCGGTTGAGGTGAGCAGGGCAGCCCAGAGCCCTGCCCAGGCCACCTGGGGGGCTGGGGTCCTGTGCTTGGGTCCCAGAGGGGCCACGGAGCAGTGAGGCTGCCCGGGGCCCCTCAATGATGGTGAGATAGCGGGTCCAGGCCACCACAAGCCTCAGCAGGAAGCGGGGGCTGGTGCCTGTCCTTATCCCTCCCACCCACTTGTTCCCAGAGCGCCGCTGCTGCGGCTGAGGCCACCAGGACCATGGAGGCCGGGGCAGGCAGGGCCAGCTACATCAGCTCTGCGCAGCTGGACCAGCCGGACCCTGGCGCAGTGGCAGCCGCCGCCATCTTCCGGGCCATCCTGGAGGCCCTGGAGGGGCAGGGCGTGTGATCGCCTCCCGCCGGTCGCTGCCCCTTTCCCTCCTCACCCGTGCCCATCCCCAGTGTGGCAGGAGCCCTGCGCCCGTCTGTGGTGTCGGCTGGAGTGCCTCGCGCCTTGGAGGGTGGGGCGCAGTCCACGGATCCCCGCCCTGCCCAGCGGTCCTGTGCGTGGGCGATAAGGCCTCTTCTGAGCTGGCCCAGCCCTATGCTGACCCCAAACCCTTCATGAGTGGCTCTCCGAGCCTGAACCCAGTCTGTGTGGAAAAAAGGCTGAGAAATAAACCTCAGTGGAGCCAGGTGACCTCAGGCCAGCACTTGTCCTTTCTGTGTTGCGGTTTTCCAGATTAGGACACAGGAAGCATTTCCTTCCTCTTGAGATGAGAAGCGCCCCAAGGCCATTAGCTGTCAAGGACAGCACGGGGCAGTCCCCCAGACAGCGCCCCTCGGTCCCCAAGGGTCGCACCTGCCCAGCTCCCCAGGGCTCGCTTAACCAGCATCACTTGCATGTCCCCCAGCGTGACCGTGGGCGGGCCCCTGCTGCTCCTGGCACCATAACCACCCAACACTAGATCCTGCGGCCCCCCAAACTACAAGAAACATTTCCGCCCCTGGCCACCAGGGTTAACAGACAGGACAGCGTCAGCTCTAAAAACGGTTTAGTGAGAGCCAAGCTCACGAGCAAGGGAAACGCCCATCTGGGGAACGGAGCTGTGTGCCCAGGTGACCAGCCAGGCGCCTTCCTGCCAGGGAGGCCCAGGGCCTGGCACGGCTCACCCAAGAGGCGCCAAGAGCTGGGCCAGCATGCGGGGAGGGGGCTGCACTTTGTGGGCAAGCACAGGGCCCCACACAGTGGCCTTGGTTTCCAGTGGGCTGCAGTGGGCTAGAAGGGTGGGTGGGTCCTGGGCCGGCAGGGGGAGCAAGGGACCCTCCCTCTGCGCCATCCTGGGACACAGGTGACAACATGGGAGCCCGGGGAAGGGCGGCATCCACTCGCCCCGGCTGGAGCAGCAGCTGAAATGGAAGTGCTGCGCAGACATGGAGAGTCTCACACACACACACACAGGGCATAGTGAGGCCACAGTCGGCCACCCACCGGGCACAAGCTCACTGCCCAGGAGGCTGCACCCGAGCCCGGGCTCCACGCTGGCTGCCCTGTGCCGAGCCCCAGCTCACTTCCTGGGGACCAGCCCCATCACAGAGAGCAGCACTGCTGCGCAGCCAGGGCGTGAGGGTCCTGCACAACAGGACCTGCGACGTCCCCGCCGAGACACCAGCGACACCCAGAGGAGCAGGGCAGCAGCCAGCAAGGAGGCGTCAGCAGCACCAGGCCAGCCCCCGGCTCTTCTGGGGGGGTGGAGACCGCAGCGGCGACTTCCGGGGGCCCTTCCCTGGGTCACTCCCGCTCGCACAACAAGGGCTGCACAGAGGGCAGAGCACAGGGGTGAAGACCTGCCCTGCAGCCTCGCATCCACCCGCAGGCCTCGTCCCAGCTTCCGGGTCTCTGGGGACCGGAGGCCCTGGACCTGACCCCAACTCAGGCTGTCTCCCTACAGCTGCCAGGTGCCCAAGTGGTGAGGACAGCCCAGCTGCCCCAAGGCTGGCGCGCAGACGTGGCCGTGTGCCCTTCCTCAGGGAAGTGGGGCCCCATGTCATCCCCAGGAGCCAGACAGCGTGTCCGCCACCAGAGCCCAGCCACGCCACGTAACGCCACCTCCCCGTCCTCACTCCCCCTGGGAGAGGCCCTGTGCCCTCTAGACCTGGCCCCAGCCACCCTCGAGCAGGGACCAGCGGCCCAACCTGTGTGTCGGCCAGGGCCCCGGGCTCTGGGCGTTTCCACGGTGAAGCCAGAAGGACATAGAGGACCAGCATCCCAAAGGCCACCACCAGCAGCCCCGTGCTGTTGGCAAAAATGGCCTCGCTGGGCAGGCTCTGGTACGGTGCGGTGGTGTTCTTCCTGGAGGTGACAGAATGTGGCTGTGAGAGATGGGAGACACGGTGCCACGAGCAGGGCGGGCGCCCCCCTGGGAGCGCACCGACTGCTTCCCCCGCCGCGGCGACACCTGGGTGGCGCTCTGCACCATAACGACGCTGATGGGAGCTCCGACCCCAGCGCAGCCACTCGGTGCTGTCCCTTGGCAAGTCACAGCCTCTCGTGCCTTAGTGCCCTCGCTTGTTCTTTGTTTGGGGACAGAGCGACGCTGTGTAGCTCAGAGTGGCCTCCAACTCGCTAAGGTGCCCAGGCTAACCTTGACTTCTCCATCCTTCTGCCTCAGCCTCCCAGCTGCTGAGGAGACAGGCTTTGCGTCCTCATCTCTATGTGGCGGTGACAGTGTGGAAGCTGCAGGGCAGCAGAGTGGATGGCAGCTCTGATAGCAGTGGCCACAGAGCACAGGTCCTGTTGGTGTCCGCTGCCCAGCTCCCCGCACCCAGGGCTCCCAGGACAGCCCTGCCACCCGCGTACAGGGCCGGCCGGCCCAGGAGGCACTGCACCAGCACTGTGTAGCTCACGCCTCAGGCCCTGGCCTCTCCCCCGGCATCAGCGCCTCACTCACAGGCTGAAGAACAGCTTCTCGTTGATGCCGGAGATGACGGATGCCATGGACAGAGCCAGGATGGCGGCTCCAAAGAAGACATGGAGCGGCTTCAGGAGGCTGCGCAGCCACAGCGGCGCCCAGGGCAGCAGGAACACAGCGAAGCCGAGGAACCACTGAGGAGAGAAGGCGGCTGCCAGCTACGTGGCCTCCGGTCCCCACCACCCAGGGCCACTCTGCTCCACAGGAAGGCCCCGCCACACGGCCCATCCTGTGTCCCAGCCACACCTCAGCCGCCACCAGCACCCGCCTCTCCACCCCCGAAAGCCCCTCCTGCTTCTGGGCTGCAGGGAGCTGCCTGGTGCAGGGGACGGGGCAGGGCCGCTCCCACAGCTGTGGAAGACACCTCGTGCCGCCTCCAGGCATCAAGCAGAGGACCCTGAGGGGGCACAGGAGGTGGGCAGGGCGCTCACCTGGCAGGCGAAGAGGATGACGGCGGCGAGACCCAGCCAGCTGTGCAGGGAGTAGAGGTGGGCAACCTTGGAGTGGCTGTGATACCGGAAGACAGCAACCAGCCCCACCACGGCGAAGACGAAGGCCACGAGGTGGAGGGCTGCGTGCAGGGCCTTCCAGGGCAGCCGAGGCCCCAGCCACGCCTGCGGCAGGCGGTACACCAGCGACGCTGCCCACAAAGGAAGAAGTCAGGCCAGGCTCTGGCGTCCATCACCTGCCACCATCCCCGGACAGCAGTCACCAAAAGGGGTGAGAGATGGGTGCAAGAGAAAGGAAGCCACGTGTGGTGTGCACGCCTGGAAGCCCAGCTGCTCAGGAGGTGAGGTAGGAGGATCACGAGTTCAAGGCCAGCCCAGACAACCTAGTGAGACCCTGCCTCAGAATGGTAAAACTTTAAGAATAAAACAGGCAGGGCCAGGGATATACTCAGTGCAAGCCCTGTGCTGAACTGCCAGTGCCTCAAGGAAAGCAACACCTACCGTTCTATTGTTGGTTTGGTGTGGCTTGAACACAGCTGCGTGGGTTGACAAGCCCTGCCTCATCAAACCGAATTCTCAGCCAGGTGTGGTGGTACGTGCCTGTGATTCCAGCACTCAGAAGGCTGAGGCAGGAGGACCACCAGTTCAAGGCCAGCATGGGCAATACAGTGAGACCTCCATCTCAAAAGTGAATTATAAAAAAGGAAAGAACAGGGGTGAAGGTCAGTCAGTGTAGGTCAGAGTGCAGGCTCTGCCTCTCAGCAATGGTTTGGTGCTTTTTCCTGTCAGCGGGGATAACAGAACCTGCCCCACCTGCTGGTTGTTGGAACAGAACAGGTTGCTTCTGTGAAGTACACATAGAAAGCTGCTATTGGTGTCATTATCCCCACCTTGTTTTTGACACAAGGTCTTGCTACAGAGCCTACATGGTGATGCTCCTGCCTCAGCCTCCTGAGTCAGGCATTACAGGTGTGCACCACAATGCCTGGCCCCCATTACTCCCGTTTGCACATGAGAAGGAGGCTCATTTCCCATTTCACGAGACACAGACTTCAACACGTGGGGCAAAAAGCCCAGAAGAAAAGCAAACCTGAGTCAGGGCCCGGGCTACGCCAAGGGAGGCTTCAGCCTCTTGCTTCGGGGTAGGGGCAGCAAACCACAGCTCTCAGGCCACAACCAGCCCACCCCAGTCTCGGATGTTGCCCTGAGCACAGCCATACTCTGGGCTTGCTGCAGCTGCACTCCTCATGCCGAGGAGCTGAGCAGTCCTAAGCCCGCAGCTTACAAAGTCCGCAGTCTTTCTTCTGTTTTATTTTACTTGCAGCACTGGGGATTGAACCTAGGCCTTTACACTGAGCAACATCCTCAGCCCTTTACTCATTTATTTATTTATTGTTTTTTGAGGTAAGTTCTTGCTCTGTAGCCCAGGCTGGCCTTGAACTCACAGCAATCCTGCCTCAGCCTCCTGAGTGCTGGGTTACGGATGTGTACCTCCACATCCAGCCCTCGCTGTATTTTTTATTTTGAAGAGTGGCTCTCCCCAGGGTGCTCTGTCGCCTGGGCTGAGACGGAACGTAACAGTTGTCCTGCCTTGGCTTCCCAGAGCACAGAGAAGCCAGGCATGCGCCCCACACCCTGCTGAAAGCCTGCAGTGTTTACTATCCGGCCCTCAACAGAAAGTCTGCTGACTCCTGCCCCAAGTACTGAGATGTCCCTGACCTCACCATTCCTTCCCGAATGCCAGCTGCATGCAGCACGCACCGGGCAGCCCCCAGTCCAGCACAGCCAAGGCAGCCATGCCCCGTGCCCCCTGCTGACCCGCACTCACCGGCTCCGTAGAGCACCACCATGCCCGACACCATGAGCACTGGGTGCCAGTTGAACATGTGCAGGCCATCGTCCCAGGCAAAGCCGCCGCGCCAGTGCTGGACCCAGTAGGTGGTGAAGAGGACGCAGAGGAAGCCCAGGCAGCCCAGCAGCAGGCAGGCCAGGTAGAAGCCCCCGGGAGCCATTGCCACTCACGCTCCTGGAAGGGACAGGAGAGTCATGTGTCCCCGCCAGCCGGCTGGCTGCCCCTCATACCCTGGCACCCTCTGGGCCCAGGACATGGGCTCTGCTTCAGTTCCCTGCCACCTGCCTGGGCACTGCCTGGGCCTTGACGGCCAGGGGCTCCAAATGAGTGTGGCTCACAGCAGCATCTTGAAGGGCTGCAAGTTTCTGAGATTCTCATTGGTTGCTGTTGTTGTTGATCTACTGGGGCTGGAACCCAGGGCTGTACACAGGGCAGGCAAGTACTCTACCGCTGAGCTACAACCCCGAACGCTTTTTCATTTTTATTTTGAGACAACATATTGCTAAGTTGCCCAGGCTGGCCTTGAACTTGCAGCCCTCCTGCCTCAGCCTCCTGAGTAGCTGGGATTACATGTGGGCTACTGTACCCAGCTGAGAATTTTGGAATATTGCATGTCTCACATTTTGAGCTTCACTTTGGTGATCAAAATCTTCAGAATATGGCTGGGCATAGTGGCACAGGCCTGTAATCCCAGCACTTAGGAGGCTGAGGCAGGAGGATGTCTATAAGTTCCACGTCAGCCTGGGTTACATAGTGAGTTTAAGGTTGGGCTGAACTACACAGTGAGACCTTGTCTCAAAAAAATAAAACAATAAATGAAGCTCCAGAACATTTCGGATTCTGGATGGACATGCTCAACCTGTACTACAAGGCGGTCTGAGGTGCAGCCCTGTGGCCCCCACTTCTACGGAAGCCCCTCCTCCCCAGATGGGGTGATTCCAGGGCCAGCACCCCCTGCAAGGACAGCTCAGCCTTCACCCCGCTTCACTCTACTCCCTGAATCCATTGCCACCTGCAGGTGTCTCTGGCCTGAGACTTCTGCTTTCTTCTGTCTGGGGAAAGTCCAGGGCAGAAAGAGGAAGTGAGAATGCACGCTCCAGAAAGCAGGAGGGTTAATTTAGGGTTTTCCACATCTGCACAATAAACTCGAGCCAGCGCTGGTTTCAGGCCTGGCGCACATATTCCTGAAACTGCTCTGAGAAGCCACATGAGGGCCTGGTGTGCAGCTCAGCAGAGGGCTCGCCCAGAATGCCCATGCACGCATGCAAGCATGTGCACACACACGGACACGGCAGAAGCCTCACACCCAGACCTTAGGGCAGGCACCCTGCCGTGCACCCGAGGCCCAAGCATGGCTCCTCACATTCGCGGCCCCTCACTCTGAAGAATCAGCCAGAACCCCCAGGAGTGACCACACTTGGTTCTCCTCCTCCAGACCTGGCAGGGGCTCTGGTTCTCCCTGCTTGGGCACCCTGCATGGGACGCTTAGCACCTGCGCACCTATTCGCATCAGAAAGAGCCCTGGCAGTCAGAGCTCCATACTGAACACCGGCTGTGAGTGCTGGACCCTTACACTGCTCCCCAAGTCTGTGAGCAGCAGCACCCCTTCTTACACTCGAGGAAACTGAGGCTCAGAACCACTACATGACACTGGTGGGACAGTAAGTGGGTGGCAGTGTCAAACTCACGTCTGTTGACTTCACAGCCCACAGCCGGTACTCTCCCCTTGGCCACAGCTGTTAACAGGAGAAAAAATTTGAGTGAGAGTCAACTATTATGACACTTCCTGCTTACTGCTCTTGTGGGATTTTATCCTAACTGCTAACACAAACTGAAGCTAGCCGGGTGTGAGGCACAGGCCTGCCGTGCAAACTACTTGGGAGGCTGAAAAAGAAAAGATCATTGAGCCCAGGAGTTCAAGGTCCGCTCAGGCAACACAGGGAGAACTCGTTTCCAAAAACAAACAAAACCCCGAAGCTCATGGTCCTGTGCCTGCCCAAGCCTCTTGCAGCCCCAATGCCAAGCCATGCCAGGCCAGCTCCACACACCAGGACAGGGACTGGTTCTCACAGGTGATCCAAGCTGGCAGTCACCTCTGGGAAAGAAAGGTCCAAAGCCAGGGAAAAGCAAGGTTCCCAAGAAAGGGTGGCAGGAACAATTTCTGCCACTGGCCTCGTGACCTGGCTGCTGAGCTCAGAGACTCGCTACCCGGCCCTGGAACTGCCTCCTCAGCTCCTGCCAGGGCAGAAAAACTCCAGCTCACCAGGCGTCTAGCACCACACCTGCCAGGCCTCCTGTCAGCAGGCTCCAGCATCTGGTGACATCTATTTCCAATCTTTTTTGAGGGGGGAGGTATGACTTCACACTGAGCCGCCTCCCTTTTTTTTGGGGGGGGGGACAGGGTCTTAGTAAGTGGCTAAGTTGCCCAAGTCAGGCTAAAACTCGCAATCCTCCTGCCTCAGCCTCCTACTGTGCTGGGATTCCAATCTTTTTTTTCTTTTCTTTGTAGAAAAAAAAGTAAATATGATCCAAAAGGACCATATCCACACCCCTAAATAAAGTCCTGGATTACTGCTCTGTGACACGCTTAGAGCAGATGATGGGACACTTTCTTGGCCACGGGCAAGGAAGTCATAGCACACAGACAAGCCCTCCCTGTTCCAGGGGGGCGGACAGTGACCCATTGGGAGTGACTGAGGCTTTAGGAGTATTCACTGCGGCCCTGTCTCCTGCCTTGCCCTCCTCTGCAGAGCCCCTTTCTAAGGCAGGAGGCAGCAAACTCTTCAGCAAGGCCCAGGTAACAAATATTTGTCTCTGCCACTGCTGTCATCTACCCTGCTACTGCACCATACTGCAACGGCAGCCAGATAACCGCTTAGCAAGTGAGCGTGACTGTGTTCCAGGGGCCCTCTGTGAACACGAGATTGGACTTTCTCATGTCTTCACATGTCAAACAGATGTAATGCTTTAGCCGGGCATGATGGGACACACCTGCCATCCCAGAACTCTGGGCTGAGGAAGAGGATCACTAGCTCCAGTCTGAATCTCAGCAACTTAGTGAGACCCTGCCTCAAAATTGGGTTCAATCCCCAGCAGCCCCCAAAAAACCTATTTTTTTCAATCACTTAAACATGTAAAAACGATGCAGGTGGGCGGTGGGCGGGGGATTTAGTTCAGCGGCACAGCGCCTGCCTGGCAAGCGCAAGGTCACAAGTTCGATTCCCGGTACCGGAAAAAAACAAAAAACAAACTATGCAGGTGCCCGTGTGGGGGCTGTGACTTGAAGTCCATCGACCCTGATTTAAGGAATTTACTGTAATCTAATACTTTCCTCAATTCCTTTGCAGAAAGGGTTCTAGGGCAGTGACAGCGAACCTTTTTGACCTTTCAACAATACCGCCTGATGCGCTACGCATGCCACGGGTCTGCCAGCACTGACCTAGGCTGTGCTGGGATAGGGCTTAAAGATGAGAAGTGGCTCTGTCTCATCGGGCTCTCAGTCTTACAAAAAGGCTGTACTGTATTCCAAACTGTCACATTACTTTCAAATTCTAAAATCACGAACAGGTGAAAGAACGAAAATGTGTTGCTCCCCCACCTTGGGAATCCTGAGAGCAAGACTGAGGACTCAAGCCCTAACGCCTTATCTAGTACCGAGGAAGTGACTTAGCCAGGGCCGGGACAGGCCCTCTCCTCCTCAGTGCCCGGGGCGCCGTCTTTCCGAAGTGAGCTTGGGCAACGTCAGGGCTCAGGGCTGAGCAGCCTGATACCCGAGGCCGGTGCGTAAGCCAGGTCCTCCTCAGCCCCAGTGACCACAGACAGCCTCAGGACTGAGTCAGGGCTGACGTCTGCCCCTCCGCAGGGCACTTGGTCCCAGCCAACTCGGGTGGAAAAAGGGGCAAGGTCCCGACTGCTTTTCGCACCTTCCCCAAAGCGTTTCGCCCGTGTAAGAAAGGGCGCGAGAACAGTGTCCATGTCCCAAAAGAGCAAACTGAAGCTGAGACGGAGTTAGCAACAGCGCGAAGCGAGGTAGGAGCGGAGCCAGCACTTGAGTCCAGGTCCCTGACATCCCAGCCCGGGCTCTCTCTCACCCCTACGCCACAGCTGCACGCCACGGGCCAGGAATTCTGAAGGCCGCCTCTCGCAGCAAGAGCCGGCCACTGCTCCAAATCCCGGAGGTAGGATAAGACACTCCGCCGGCTTGTGTCTGCAAAAATAACCCCAAGCGCCCCGTGGGGTGCCCTTATAGGCTGACTGAACTTCCGGTTGCGCGCGAGGCCTCCTGGGAAATGAAGTCCAGGCCCCGGGGTCGAGGGACTCGCGGCTACTCCTGCACCAAGGTTCCGGGCCCCCGGCTACTGTTCCCCTGCGGGCGTTTCTTCCTCACGTCCGGGATGAGGGCCTCGGGGCACCGCGACGCCTCTACTCTGTTCTTTATTCCTCATCCCAAAGAAGCAGAAACGTTCTGGTTGACGTATAGCCTCCCCCCGGGGGCTAGCTCTCAACATAAAAGGAGAATGGGAAAGCCAGGAGCAGGCGAGCACTGAAAGCGAAGGACGAGCATGGCGGCCCACTTGACACCGAACGGGAAGAGTGGCCACCTACTTCCGGAACTTCTGGCCGGCTTCCGGCAGCAGCGCGGTGTCCCCATGGCAACCACTGTGGGCTCTTTTAGGTGAGCACGGTGAGGAGAAAATGGGTCGAGAGACTAGAAGTCAGGATTTTTGTCGCTGTTGTTTGGGGTTTGGGCTTTTGCCAAACAATCCCACTTTTAAATGGCTTGGGAAGAGTGAGGAAAACTGCTCCAGGACAAGGCAGGCGGTTGGGAGCGGCGGACGGCCAGAGCGGCGCGCTGCGTGTCGGGGCTGCGAGGGGCGTTTCCGGTTAGCGGATCGCTGGAGAGGGCGTCGCCGGCGTCAGGCGTCCTGGCCTGGCCAGCCGCGACCTGGGGAGCGATTTAAACGCCGACTGGGTCTAGACCTGGCCTCACAGTTGCTGCGGGGGTTGAAGGACCAGATCTTGACCGTTCACCCTGGGGCCGGTACCGAGGGGATGGCGATATTCAGGCCCAAAGTAGCCACGGCCGTTGTGCAGAAAGGGGGCCCTCGCCTCAGCCTCCGTGCCGAAGGGGGTTCTGCGCGTTAACATGGCTGCTTGCCCAGGTAATCCTGGGATTAAGCAGCATTAGAAACACGCAAAGAGTCTGTGACATGTAAAATGCTTTGTAGGTGTTCGTTTAATCGCTTTCTCTTTTTTTTTTTTTTTTTCGTTTAATCGCTTTCTGACACTTGGAGTTTCTTTTGTTGGCGGTGGTGTTTTTTTTGTTCCTGGGGCTTTTTATTTGTGGTTGTTCTTGGGGTGTTTTGTTTTGTTTTGTTTTGTTTTGTTTTTTGAGACCCGGGTCTTGCTATGTAATTCAGGCTGGCCTTGAACTCCTGCCGATGCTCTTGCCCGAGCCTCCGGAGTGCTGGGATTACAATCGTGTGCCATCACAACCGGCCATTGCTTTTGTTTTTTGAGACAGGGTCTCACTGAGTAGTTGAGGCTGGACTTCAACTCACAGGTGATCCTCCTGCCTCAGCCTCCCATGTGCTGGGATTACAGGGGTGTACCACCACACCCAGCGCATTTTGAAATTTGTTTGTAGAGTTGATCTAGCTGCAGGATAGAAGGGCACTTCCAGAACAAACTGTGAGTCTTTTTTTTTTTTAACAGATGTGTGACAGCAAAGGCCCAGCTCCCCTCACCTGGGCCCACTGTGCTGCTGTGCTTTTAGAGGAGCCCTATTTGCTCTTAGCTCTTTCTACCTGTACTGCTTCCTACCTGGTGTTAATGACACACCAGGCAGCTTAGAGCTGTGGTGAGCAGGCTGCTTCCAAATGGCCTCCTTCCAGATCTGGGCTCGGCTGTTTACTGGCTGGGTAATATCTGCCTCTGGGCTTCTGTTTTCTTTTCTGTAACACGGGTAGAGTAACAGTGTATCTCCCACCCCTTCTGAGGTTATTGTGGGGGTTGAGTCACAGTGCTTGCAGACCTCCTTGCACACTGCAAGTGATACATAATAAGTATTTGTTTTTCCCTGGTGCTGGGGATTGAACCCCGGGCCCTCAGTGTGAGCTACATACCCAGTCTCCCCCTCTCCCTTTTAGGATGGCCTCACTAAGTCACCAAGTAGCCGGAGCTGGACTTAAACTCAAAATGTGTTGACATTAGGGGCATGCACCACCACACCCCACTGGGTTTGCCACTGCTGTTGTGGTTACTGCTGTCACATGACCGGGCAGTTGCTCTGATTTCTAGTACTCCTAGATGTTTTGGTTAGGAAGAGCTCTGGCTTTAGAGGGTCTAGGCGTGGACAAAGGCTTGAAGGCAAGGGTTCCTAGGAGGAATAACAAGCTGGGGTGTTTGTTGCTGGTTTTGTTCGCTAATTTATCTCTGAAATGGTGCCTTGCCCACAGTAGGTGTTTATTAGTGGATTTCTAATGCCGCTTCTCTTTTCACCCCAAAAGGTCCTTGGTCTAGCACAGCAGGAGCAGCTCTGATTGGGAAGAAGTCAGCGCCCGCTCTGGCAGCCAGAGGGGAGCAGCGCTGTACTGTTGAGGGGCGTGGGATGTGGCCCGGGCCCAGAAAGCGGCTGGAAGATGCTGCAGACCAGCAACTACAGCCTGGTGCTGGCCCTGCAGTTCCTGCTGCTGGCCTACGACCTCTTTGTCAACGCGTTCTCCGAGCTCCTCCGGACGGCCCCTGTCGTCCAGCTGGTGCTGTTCATGTGAGTCCACAGTGGGGGCTGCGGGCGCTGCAGCAGGAGCCCTGGCTGTCAGGCTTGCCGCAGAGTCTCCGGGCGTGGGACTGAGGTGTGGCTCTGTGGTGGACTCCGCTGGACGTGCGGGCGCCCTTCCCAGGCCATGTAAACGAAGTTGTGAATAGAGGACTAGGAGCAAGAATAAAATTGGACGTTTTCCGGGGTTCCCCAGGGTGCGTGTGTCGGTGTATAGTCCGTTTCTGTCTGGGGTGACCGGTCCCGAGAACAAGGTGCCCGTGGATGAAAAGCAGCTAAGTCATGGGATCAGGGGGCTTCAGCCTCTTGGACTGATGCCCCATTACCATTTTCTCTAACTTTTTATTGAGAAAAAACTAAAGCAGCAACAGGGTAAATGGGAATCATTAGCAGGATTAGCGAGAACAATACAGCTTAGTTATCACAGGAGTGAGACTTGACTTAGTTAACCATCATGTTATCTTTCCTTGGGTCATATCCCAGCAAGGCATCTAGTGCTGTCCCAGCCGCTTTCCACAGGGGTGCAGGTCCTGCTATCGTTTGCTTTTACACTAATGCTTTTGCTAGACCTCATACGGCTTGGTCAGGCCCGAAGTCTCAAATAGGTAATAACACTGAAAGATAAACTAAAGAATGTCCTTCTTCACATGCGTTGACACGGCCCCAGGGCCTGTTTCCGTGTCCTCCTCACAAGGGCTGGGACAGGGGAGCAGTTCACACAGCAGGCAGGGTCTCCCGCCCTGTTGTTCTCTCTGTCTGCAGGTAGAAATGTCACTGCCATGTAAGAGGACTGGAAATGGCAGGTTAAAGAGTGAGCTAGGCACTAAAGTGTGCGAGCCCATCAGCAGTGTGGGAAGCAGGGCACACGTGCCAGGGCAGGCTGCTGGTATTGATTGAAAAAGTTCACTGTCACTGCAGGGCTGAGGCTACAGGGCTCCCTAAGGCCATCTGTCAGCTGAAAACCACAGCCCTGGGCTCCCCTCCCCCAAAGCCTGTGTGCTGGCTGCGGTCGGGTCCCTGTAGCGAGTGACACACCCAACCTTGCCTAATGTGGCCAGTGTCCCTATCCTGGAGATACCTGCGGGCAGTAGCGTGCGGCCGACCACGAACTGGGACCCCGACTGCAGCCAGCACACAGGCGTTGGGGGAGGGGAGCCCAGGGCTGTGGTTTTCAGCTGACAGATGGCCTTAGGGAGCCCTGTAGCCTCAGCCCTGCAGTGACAGCGAACTTTTTCAATCAATACCAGCAGCCAGGGTCTCAAGGATGAACCTGCCCACAGGACCAGCCCCACAAGGGACAGGACGCGGGAGGAAAGGAACCCTCAGAAGTAACCAGCAGGTCAGCCCATCTCTGGACTGTGACTCAGGCAGTGCCCGTAGTTTCGTGTCACCTGGGTCCTAAAGCCTGTGCTAGCACAGGGCAGGACAGGCCCGATGGTGGTCCTCGGCACAGGTCTCCATGGGGTGCTCTGTTGTCTGTCCACAGCATCCAGGACATTGCGGTCCTCTTCAACGTCATCATCATCTTCCTCATGTTCTTCAACACCTTCGTCTTCCAGGCCGGTCTGGTCAGCCTCCTGTTCCGTAAGTTCAAAGGCACCATCATCCTGACGGCCGTGTACTTCGCCCTCAGTATTGCCCTCCACGTCTGGGTCATGGTAAGTGGTAGCTTTGGCCCAAAGCTCCACAGAGCCAGGGCAGCTCTCTCCTGGGAGCTTCTGCGCAGCCTTCTGTGTGCAATTAAACTTTTGGTTTTGTCTTTGGGTTGTTTGTCCATTTTGCTCTTTTTTGCTTTTTGAGACAGGGTCTCGTGTAGTTCAGGCTGACCTGAAATTCCAGGCAATCTCCTGCCTTGGTTTCTTGAGTGTTGGGATTACAGGCATGCTCCACCATGCTAGCTGGCAGTGGAGCTGGTTTCTTTGCAGTGCTGAGGATTGAACCCAGGGCCTTCACACCACCCACCCCAGCACTTTTTATTTTGAGACAGGATCTCACAAAATTATTTAGTTGCCCAGCTGGGTTCAAACTTGAGATCCTCCTGCCTCAGCCTTCCGAGCACTGGGATTCCCAGCATGCCCACCATTCTTAGCTCAGAAGCAATTACTGAGAGAGTTGTTGTTGTGGAGCTGGGGATGGAAGCAGGCCTCGAGCCCCGCGCCCTCTCTCACCCAGGATGCTCCCCTGGACTCTGGCGAGGCCTGGGGCAAGCCTGACTTTCCAGCTTTCAGGTTTGCCTTTTCACAGGTTCTCCTGGCCCTGTGGGCTCCTGTGTCCCCTTCCTGGCAGAGCAGTTAGTACGTCGGGTTTGGGCTAGGGACAGCTGGCGGTGGAGCGCGTGTCTCGGACGCTGAGGCCCAGGTTCCGTCCCCAGCACCACAGTGAGACCAGAGTGGAGCGGGGCCTCAGGTGCCAGTCCCTCCTGCGCCACCACAGCCTCTATGCTCGTGACCCAGGAGGGGCGCGGCTGTGCTGCAGCCTCTGCGCCCCCTGCGGTTTTCCTGGAGCTGTGCTGGGCCTGGAGAGGCTCCTGCTTCAAGAGCTACAGTTGTGAATGGGACGACAGCCCGACAGCACCCGGGCCTTTGCCGCCGGGGGCCAAGCTCGAGACTTTCCCGGGGAGGCGGTGCCCAGCCACACAGCCCAGTGGCCAGTCCTCCTTGGCGAAGGCAGCGGGCCAGAGTCCTTCAGGGCTGAAGGGTTCCCTTTGCAGCTAAAAGGGGTTTGGGGCTTTGGGGAGACAGGTGGAGGGCAAGGTGAGCTGCGGCTCGCTGAGGAGCATCTCAGCTGAGCCCATGGGAGGCAGCGGGGCCTCGTGTGGTGCTGACCTGTCCCTGTCTCCTCCAGAACCTACGCTGGAAAAACTCGCAGAACTTCGTGTGGACGAATGGGCTGCAGGCGCTGTTCGTGCTCCAAAGGCTGGGTGAGGACCTCGGGCCGCCTCCCCGACCCTTGTGCTGGCGGGGCTAGCTGGCGGCCACCCTGGGACAAAGTGGGTCCCACCCTGCCCTCCCTGGGGAGGCGGAGGCAGGAGGGGCGCGGCCTGAGCACTCCCGCTTCCTTCCCCACAGCAGCAGTGCTGTACTGCTACTTCTATAAGCGCACCGCCATGCGCCTGGGCGACCCCCGCTTCTACCGCGACTCTCTGTGGCTGCGCAAGGAGTTCCTGCAGGGCTCTCGGTGACGCCGCCCTTCCTGGACGAGGCCACCGTGGCTGCTCTGCAGGGTGCCAGCCGTCACACCAGGCACCGCTGGCACAGAGGACAGGCCCGGCCGGCCGTGTCTCATCAGGGTCCATCCTCCGGCGCCACCGCAGTCCCTGAGCCTCGCCGGCTCTGCTCAGCCGCCCGCTTTCCCTCGCCCCTCCATCCTGAGGGCTCCATGGGGACAGCGGACGCCCAGCCCCTGTTGTCCAGGAGCCGCCTGGAGTGATTAAGGGTGCCACAAGCTTGGGCTCCAAGCTCTGACCAGCTGCACAGTAGACATTTAGATGTGTACCAGGGGACGTGTTTACATTTTATAAATAGGAAATAAATTGAACTCCTTTGCTACAAAGAGCGGAAGCTGCCTGTGTAGCTGGACCTGCCTGTGGGTGGGCATCCTGCACAGGCCAGCCTCCTGGTCCCCTCCCCGCCGCAGACGGGGCCCTGCCGAGGAGGGGCCTTTCCGGAGCCGCTGCGGGACGCGGAGTTGGCATCAGCTCCGCCTCGCCTGCTGCCCCCAGCCCTTGGAGCGCCAGGTGTCACTCTCCCTGCCACTCCTCAGCCTGTTGCAGGAGAGATGTCAGGCTCCGCAGCCATTTTCCGTGGCCAGAGTGAGGTGCAGAGCCCCCAGCGATGGGCGGCCCCCGGAAGTAGGCTGAGCAGCCCCAGCTGGGGGCTCAGTGGGGCCGGCCGTGAGTGCACTTGGCCTCGCGCATGTTTGGCCACCGGGCAGTTGGGGTGAGCGGCTGACCCAGGGTGACCTCAGTGGAGTGGGGGCTTGACCTGGGTGTGAGCTCCACCCCCGCAGACCAGCCCAGATCTGATTGCTCCTGGGCGGTGGCCGAAGAGGAGTCAGCAGCCCTAGGGTGTGGCGGGCCAGGTGGGGAGCCCTTCCTGGGAGCTCTCCGGCAGGGGAGACGGAGACTGTGATTCCATCCGCCCAGCCCACCAGACAGTCCCGAGAAACGTGTGGGAACGCCTCCCTCCCGTCGTCCCAGCACTGGTGGCGGGGGTGGGAGGATGGAGAGGTCAGGGGCATCCTGGGCCACAGAGCAGGACCCCGTCGTTAGAAAAGGTCTGTCTGAAAAACGAGGTATGCGCAGGTGACAGCCACCTCTACGCAAAGGGCCAGACGGCAACTACCTTAGGTCTGGGGTTGCACGGCTGCGCTGTCCATCTGACGTGGGGATGGGAAGGGTTCTGTGTGTGAAGAATGAGCTATGTCCCGCAAATGCTGGAACAATCACCGTGAGACAAGACCAGCCTGGGCCACACAGTGAATTCAAGGTCAGCCTGAACCGCATAGCCACATGCTATCTCAAACAACAAAACCCAAAGAGAAAAGATTTTAAAGTGGTTAGAGGGATGGGCATATAGCTCAGAGGCACAAGTGCCTGAGGTCCCGAGTTCGATTCCTGGTACCAAAAAAAAAAAAAAAGTGGTTAGAAAAAGTAAGCATGACTGTAATTCTAGCTCCCTGGGAGGCTGAGGCAGGAGGATCACTGGTACCCACAGGTAAGATCAGCCTGGCAACACTGCAAAGCCCCACCTCAAAAATGGGAGGTAGAACACTTGGAATGCCAAAGGCATTGCCTTGTCCTTTAACCAGAACCAGCAGTCTTCAGGTCTAGCACGGCTGCGGTTTGCGGTTATTACACCTTTATCGGCACAGAGAGTGAGCAGTAGCCGCGTGTTGAATCTGCTCACGGCAGCTCTGAGAGCAACACAGCAGCCCCTTTCCCGGAGCCTCCGCATCCCAGTGCAGCAACAATTACGTCCTGATGTCTTCACAGCCACCGAGTATAACCAGTCACTGTTGGCTCACTCACGTGTAAGTGGCAGCTGTGGCCCTGTAAGTCCCTAGAGCGTGTGTGTGCGCGTGCATGTGTGTGCACGTGTGTCTTAGTGCATTTGCACAGGACAAAATGGAAATTATAAGATTTAAGTAGGGGCCAGTAGTGCATTCCTAGCACCCCAGCTACTGAGAAGGCAGGGGTAGGATCATGAGACCTAGGCCAGCTTGGGTAGCTCAGCAAGGCCCTGTCTCCCTCTCTAAACAAGTAAATGAAAAGGTCCACAGGGCTGGGATGTGTTCATATGTGTGGCCCCAGCATTGCAAAAATAAAAGGTTTATGGCATAGCCTCCGTACTGCTGTCAGCCAACGACCTTCTTTACCCCCTCTTGACAGTGTTACCTATGTGCCTCTAACAGGTGAGGGAGTAACGTTTCGGGAAGGTTTTCACAAAGGAAGATTGCCGTAGCCCTCCCTCCGCCAGTGCTCCCTGGATTGCCGGCTGCACGTAAGGTGGAGGTCGCACGTGGGCCAGCTTTTAGGGCGAAGTGAAATAAAAGTTTATTACGGGAAAGATACACAGACGCCAGCGGCAAGGACAGATGTCTGGCCCCCAGCACCCCTGTCTGCGGTTGCACCCCCTGTGTGGCCCACAGGCTCCCTGCCTGGTGTCCTCTGCCTGTCCCCTCCTCTGTCCCACCCCAACTCAAGTCCCTGCATGTCTGAGTCCACTCTGCAGCTCCTTGCTGTTTGTCCGGCCACCCCGCCTCTCTGAGTCTTCGCGTCTGTGTTTCCGCACACTCATCTCGGGAGTGGGCCACAAGGTGGTGTGCTTCCTGACACCGGACGGCAAAACTGTCCACCCGGCTCTGCCTCGCTTTCGGACACAGTGCCTGAGACCCCGGGCCAGAAGAGCCAGTCTTCTCAGACGCTAGGAGCTGGCGGGGGAGGGGGGGCCCCGGGCTACCTGTTGGGCCCCTTGCCAGGAAGCCCAGCTGACCTATGGCAGGAGAGAGGCTGCGGCCGTGGGGCAGCGGGCAGGGTCAGAGCTCCAGGTGGGCGCACGCAGCAGGCACCTGTCTAGCTGCTCCTGAGCCGAGGCCTTCCTCACAGACCATGGTCTGTGAGCAGGTGACGTACCCAAGCTCAGAGCAAGGAAGCGCTGCTGAAGAAACAGCCCTGCTGGAGGGCGCTCGGCGGCAGCTGTCTGCCCCCTGCAGGAGGCCCTGGTGGGACTCCAGGACTGGAAGCAGCAAGAGGAAGTGTCTCACGCTGAAACTCAAGGGCCAGCTGGGAAGGCGACACACGACAGACAGCACTGCAGACTGTGAGCTGAGGCTGCTCTCACCACCAGGCAGCCTCCGCCTGAGGTGAGATTTGACCGGTGACTGTGGAGCCCCACTGGACCAATCTGCCCAGTAAGGACGCAGGGAGATGCGGCTCAGCCCGGGCCACGGCCCCCACCCCCCGCCGTAGTCACAAGCGTGTTCTGTCGGACACCAGCCTGCGTGTGCCCGGGGCCAGGTCCCTTTCCCAGACGCCTCCTGTGGGAGACAGACTCCTCCTCTGAGCCGTCCCCACCAGGGCCCCGCCTGCAGGGACCTCCTCCTGCTACTGCTTTGCTCCCCTGACCTGAGGGTGAAAGAGACACAGTCACCCCGGCAGCCAGGGGGCTCTCGCCTCTAGGGCAGGGGAGCATGCCCCCCTTTAACCCCCAGACACAGGTACAAGCAATTAAAGTAACGGGAGACTATCTGCCTTGCCTTACCTATTAACCCACGCCCAGGTAAACGGTTTGACCTCAGCTGTGCAGCTTTCCCTAGACCTGCTCCATCCCTCATCCCTGCGGACGCCTTCCTCCTCATGCTCCTGCAGTGCTCGCCGGTGATCGCTGTGTCCTCTGTGTGTAAGTGTGACACGAAAAGGTAAAAGGGCAATGAGAGAGGAGGAGATGTGTGGCCGAGGGAAGGGCGGACATGGTTGAAATGGTCAAAGCAGGTTCCAAGCATGTGTGAGTCTGCCGGGATGAAACCCACCATCTGTATAAGTAATAAGCACTAGAAATATGTGTGAGTTGCCTCAGTTTCTCTCTCTTGGGAGCACTCACTCAGGGCAACTTGGGTTGGTGTCCACAGGCTGAGGTCACAGCCTGGGCCCAGAAGAAGCTGCTTTCTCTTTCCCTCTGAGGAAAGCCGTCCTAACACATCCCGAAGGAGGCGCTGTGAACACCACTGCAGAGCAGGCGGTGAGCGCTGGCGCAGGGACACAAGTGGCGCCTGACGCTGATGCGGACGCCACGAATGCACCTCAGACGCTCCGAGGGCCGAAGACTCAGGCGCCCCCACTGCCGGAAGCCAAGTGCATGAATATAACAGAAACGGCCTGTTTGCTGTCTTACTCTCTTAGCAGGAGGAATACGCTTTTAAGAGGGCTTGTCATGGATTCTTAGCCAGAAGAGCGGAACACTGGGTCCCACCGACACAGCCGTGACTTCTCTACTGTAAATTTTTACTTTAGCATAAATAGTAGCTGGCTGTGCGTCTCAGTACCTTTGCCTGAGGGACACAGGAAGCAGCCTGCGTGTTTACCTACTTCGTGCTAGGAGGACTCCGTACAATGAAAGGCAAGGTCTGTGCACGTGTGCAAGGGTGTCCAACCAGGATTTGCACTGACATTATGCTCCATCTAGCAGGTTTGGCGTATGTTTACCTGAGCATCGCAGAGGGTATAATACACACACCGCTCTTGGATTTGTTTTCTAAGAAGTTCTCTTTTGATTTTTCTGGTAGAAGTAGCCCAGTTCAGTACAACAGTGCATGAAAAAATCAGACTTGCAAGTTTTGGAGGAGGTCAAAAGTGAGTCATCAGGTTACTCATGCATGGATGATGAAGATGATCCATTACGGTAAATACATGTTTTCGTATCAGATGAGAAGTGGGGGTGGATGATGATGATGATGATGACTCTGATATCACCCATGTGAGCCAAAGCTCCTGGGACAGTGAAATGGAGCAAGAACTGATTGATACAGTCACAGGGAACGCAGGGCTTCCTGATTCAGATGACAAAGCAGCAATGTGAGCACATACTTGACTAGTGGAAGTGTTGCGAGAGCTATGTCCCAAAATGTAGTGAGGGTCTCAGCAGGGGTGAAACCTACTGGAATGCCAGCACTGCTGTTCGATGTTAGAAATCGTAATGGACAGAATGCTACAAGATGCTGTGAAATACCAAAGGCTGAGGTACAAGTAAAACATTGTGTGTGCACCAATAGTCATATTATATTTATTATGACACCTCACCAGCTGAACTGAGAGCATTCATGGGTCTGCCGTACTTAGCACCAATTTCTTCTGGTGATCACAGGAATGTAAAAGATTTATGGAAAAATAATGGGTCAAAATATGGCATAAAAATGTATGCCCTGTAGGTGAGAATACTGATTATGCTTCCAGTTTAGACATTTGTCCTGGAGCGCAGCCGCTGGGTCCTTCTTTGTATAATAAACATTGAATGGTGTTGCTCCCATCTCCCAAACAAATCAGAGTGTGACCGTCGACAATCGGTTTACTGATCTCGCATGGTGACCTTCACTGACAGAGCACAAGGTGACCAGCGCTGGAACTGTGCACAGGAACAAAGCAGAAATCCCAAATGAAGTGTTGCGGTTTCAAAACAGAGAGTTGTATAGTACAATTTTTGACTTTCAGGAAGATATAACATTGGCCGCATATATGCTAAAGAAAAGCAAACTGATACTGCTGATGTCAGCATTTCACCATGATGGAAATGCTGATAGGGAAACCTCGACAAAACGGAAGCCTGAGATTCAAACTTTCTACAACAACACCAAAGAAGGAGTAGATACTGTTGATGAGTTATATATGATGTCACTCTAAGCAAAAAGCATTGGCCAATGGTTGTGTTTTACTAGGCCCTAAACATGTGTGACATTAATAGTTTGATAGTTTACAAGGAAAAAATAACAAGTGCAAAATACCATGAAGAAATTTTCTTAGAGAATTGGGGCTGGAGTTCATAAGAGAACATTTCCAGCAGAGGAAAACCAAAATATTTCTGCCCAGGGAACGACACACAAAAATTGTGGAGTGCACTGGTGAGCCGACAGGTGAACAGGCAGGTGCAGCACCCCAAAGACCTACCACGGCAACAGGAAAACACAAAAGATGTCAGCTGAGTCCTACAAGAAAGGACAGGAAAACAAGACACAGGTGCTGTCAGTGTGAGTGATGCTTGTGTACGGAAGATGCAGTTTTCATGTGTGAAGACTGCCGTGGGTGCGACAGTTGAAGCAAAGATTTTTTTTTCCGCTACCAAGAATAGAACTCAGGACCTTGTGCTTGCCCGGCAGGCGCTGTGCCACTGAGCCCTATCCCTGGCCCAAAGATTATTTTTGTTGTAGAGTTCTATTGGTATTTTCATTGTAGTTCACATAGGTTTTTGTTTCTGATGCTGTTAGGTTTTGTAAGCAAGTACACAGCCGATGTGAAAATGTTGATGTCTATTCTAAGCACTCTTCACACAGTTGACATTTTCTTTTTGAGACAGTCTCTCATTTCCTGCCAAGTGCAGGCTGTACAACATAGGGGGAAGCTCCTGACAAAACAGGAAGAGAGGTGACAAGCATGGGCTGGCACATACCAGAGGAAAGCTGCGCACTTGAGCTGTCAGCGTAAGCGAGATGTGAGCGTGGGCCTGCAGTTGTCAGGCGTGAAGACAGCCTCGGGTGTGGCAGGCGAGGCAGATAGTTTCTGTGGTGGACTTCGTGTTTCCATTGTAGTTCACATTCTGATGTTAGCTTTTAGGTGTTGTAAGCAAGTACACAGCTTATGTGAGAGTGTTGATGTTTATTCTAAATGTGCAACACATAGTAAAAATTTAATACTTTTACTGATATTTTATGTTCCTGTTAAGGACATACTGCATAATATAATAAGAGCCTCCTGACAAAACAGCAAGAGCAGCGAGATGTCAGGTGTGTCCTGCAAAGGTCCAGGAAAGCAAAACACACATGCTGTCTAAGAAGTGTATGTGTGTGGAACGTGCATTGTCATGTGTGCAGACTGCTATAGGTGTGATAATTGAAGTGAAGGTTCCCTTTTTGTGGTGTGCAATTGGTATTTTCATTGTAGTTCATATAGAAATTTATTTCTATTGTTATTTTTTAGTCTTTGTATACCAAAAACCAGTTCACGTTGAAAATTCTGATGCTTTTTTATAAAAAATAAATATTAAAAATGCAGCACTTTATTTTTGTGATATTTTTTCCTGTTAAGCATGCATGGTTTAATATAATAAAACTCATAAAATTAAAACTAATAATCCATCAATAGAAATACTGTAAAGAATAAACATGGGTTTGACAGACCCATGTTTATGAGACTTTATGATAAAAAATGTGTTATGGTCCGTGGGCTAGATGCAGGGACTTTCAAAGTTTACAGGCAGGAAATTAGCTTTTTAAAAATGCTTACCAAATTCCTGGATGCTCCAGGCGGAAGCTGGAAAAACAGATTTAAAATAAAGTATTTTCTGGGGCCTCAGAGAGGGCCAGGGACAAACACAGCACGAGAGCCCAGTCCAGCCCAGCACCCAGAGGAGGAGACATCCTCCCCCACATGCTGGTACATGCTACAGCACAGGCACACATAACTACTGCTACACATCATGGCAATGTGTCTTCTACTGTAATAACTGTTAAAAAATTAAACACCATATCTTTGATCACATTGTGTGTGTAATCTTAGCTACTGACAGATGATGGGCAGAGACACAGGCAGACAGGTGTCTCAGCTGCGGTCAGCAGGCCCAAGGCCTGCGCTCTGGAACAGGTTGACCGTGAGTGAAGGACCTCAGCGTCAGCAGGGATGTAGCCCTGAGGACCAGAGAAGCCAGCTGAGCCGAGAGGCCTCCTATCACTGGAGGACAGCATGAGGGACTCAGGGAGCCTTCAAAGCAAAACAACTCTTGCCTTGAGAGGTTCTGCAATTGTGTAAGGCCAGAGGCTCCAACCCAAGTCCCAAGCTTGGCCAAGCAGAGCAGTTTGGGCTGCCGCTGGCAGTGGTCAGCACCAGGACCACGGGGCGGGGTGGACAGGCACCTGCTAGCATGGACCAGGAGGTGCCTTAGCAGGGACAGGCTGGGGCAGGCAGGCCACTTCTCTAAATGGCAGTGCTGGGTGGGGGTGAAGCTCAGCAGCAGGCTGGAGGCCCTGGGATTGACTCAGGCACCACAAGACAACAACGTGAGAAAAAACAAAACCAAGTACAGCCTCCAACCACACAGCCCCTCAGCAAATTAAGGTGATCAGTCTTGTTCTAGCTGCCTAGTAGAAGGGGTAGAAAAAACATCTAAAAAAATATCTACACTACAAGCTTTTCTTTCTTTCGCTCCTTTTTTTTGTGTGTTTTTTGTTGTTGTTGTTTTTGAGGGTTTTGCTATGCAGTTCAGCCCAGCCTTAAACACTACATAGTTCAGGCTGGCCTCAAACTCACAGCGATCCTCCTGCCTCAGCCTCCCAGTGCTGGGATTATAGGCATGCACCACCATGCCTGGCTTACAGGTTTTTCTACTGTACAGTAATTTCTGCATCTCATAAAAATGACTGACATGCCTGGAGATAGGACCGTTTATTTAAAACCAGAGAAAAAGTGGCAAATGTAAATAAATGATGCACATGTTGGAAGAGGCAGACAAGGAGTCACCTGGGATCAGAATGCTCAGGAAAATAGGGAAATGTGGCAGAAACTGTACGCAGCCGTCCCTAAAGGCTTCTGCTCCTGACAGCTGAGCTGGGCCAGGGCGGCGGTCCACTTGCAGCAAAGGAGAGCTCTGTACAAACCGCAAGGACTGCAGGTAGCGCACTTGTCTGTGAAGCCCCCGCCCACTGCAGTGGCAGCGGGCAGGCGACACTCGTGACTCATGAAAGTGTGACCCTGTGTGGCGACACTGCCCTCAGGTGTGGCTGGGGGCGCGGAAAGTGTTCCTTCTGCTGCTGGTGCCAGTGGCAGGCGAGGCTTCATGGAGCGCATGCTGGTGAGAACCCCAGTTCCCCAGCAAAGAGCACGGCCTCGAAGCTGGGTAGAAAGAAACCAGAGAGGAGCAGGAGCCAGGAGAGCGAGGAGGGGTGCGTCCACTCGGGTCTCCACACGCAGCTGCCCCGGGTCCACAGAGAAGCCCGAGTGCCACGGTGCTGTGCTGGACACTGGAAGCCGCCGCGTGTGAGTAATCACCACGCAGGAATTAGCAAACAAGGATCTTCAGGCTCGGTGCAAATCAGCTGCCAGTGAGTAAAGAGCCGTGGATGTCACAATGCAGTGGGCCGGAAAGAGTCCAGGTTCTTGTGTACCACAGGGAAAGAATCGCCAAGCGCACGCCTCACAATGTGTAGTAAGTAGCTACCGTTATGGAGGATCAGGGCAGCAGCAGGAACAGGGAGACGGGAAAGAGGGCAAAGGATAAAGGGCCACAGTAACCCCGGCTTCTGTACTTAGAGCGCTGCGTATGTGACCCACTGTTTCTTGCTGGCGTCAGCAATCTGTGTGACACTCCTAAGCCTCGGCCTGGGTCACGGTCATCATTATGGTGCTGTCCCGTTTGCAGTGGAACGAAGGGAAGGTAGTGACTGCTGAGTCACTTTGTTTCTAACTGTACTAGGTAACCTCGACAGAGAAAAAAGTGATTCTTGAAAAACAGCCGAGAAATTATGGCCAGGCGTGGTGCCACACACTTGTAATCCCAGCATTCGGGAGGCTGAGGTGGGAGGTTTAAGGCCAGCCTGGATGACAGAGCAAGTTTGGATGACACCGTGAGTTTAAGGGCAGCCTGGATGACAGAGCAAGACTGTCTAAAAAAAGGCAGAAAAAGTATTAAGAAAACTTGTAGCTGTCAGGGATAAGAAAGCTGAAGGAGTTTTCCATAGGTGAGGTCCCCAAAGAATCACACAGACAACAGCAGCAGGCAGCTGAGCAGAGCAAGAGCACTAGAGCCACCTGCGTCTTTCCGGTATAGCTCTTATACAGGTTGTCATCTCGCACTGACACTCTTACGTGCTAGCCACACGGGCACATGTGTGTTTGTTCACTGCTAAGTTATGGTTACATAACTGTATCTCGCTGTGCCCTTGAGCTAGACAGCAGGGCCACGTCCTCAGGTGTCCTTAGATGCCCTGGGCTATGAAGCAGTCTGAGTGGTTCCTCACATCCACCTGCTCAAAGGTCGGGGATGCATGAATGTAACGTTCTATGTGTGGCAGGGCACAAGCAGCTTCCTGTGCTGCACACAGCAAATCAAGAGTCTTGCAGTTTTGCAAAACCATATTCATTCGAGAATTTTATCCAACAGCAACATCAAAGCCTGACACGTAACATTCGAGGCCCGGGCCATATGTTGAGCAAGGGCTTTAATCTGGAGGGCTAGGTCAACGGTCCTTGCTCCTGGTCAGACCTGGTCAGACGCTATTCCTAGCCATCAACCATTGCAATGCCTGGTCAAGGCGTCTGCTAAATCATTTCCTGTCGAGAGGAGGGGCTTGTGTCCGGAACCCTGACACCCTGCATGGTCAGCTTTTCGGTCACACTCCCATACATCTCACCATAAGTCAGCACCCCACAAGGGACGGTGCCCTGTCTGCCGCTCCTGAGCTGCCCAGGCTGGCAGCAGAGTGTCGGCCGCCTCACGATGGCCCAGTTATCATGCACACACGTAGGGGCCTGCTTCATGCATCACGAGCAGTCACACTGTCCGCAGCTCTGCATCAGCTTGACCTGCCTGTTCCGGTTTCAAAAAAGAGTATTTCCACACTGGGCTGGACAGCAGCCACTGTCCGCTGCGGGGTTTGGTCATGGCTGGACCCAGCAGTGTATCCCGCATTAGCCAGAGGTGCCTCTTTCCCTTCTGCATTGGGACTAGGGGTCCAGTCCTGTAGTCCATCCTCCCAGACGGGCTCCTGGGCCGCGTGCATCACATGCCCCAACACCGCTGCCAGTTCAGCTGCCAACAGGCAAGCTAAGAAAGAGGCCACTATGTCCCCAAAGCATGAGAGTGGGGCCTGTGCCACCCCACTCCTGGGACGGGCTATCCACATCTGCAAGCACCCCTGACTGCCCCGTGAGTCCTCACAGGCAAGCAGAGCAGGGTACAGCGCTGCTGCTTCTCAGGGAACACCGGCTCCCAGCCCCTTCCCAGCTGTGACCAAAACCCAGCAGGAGATGCTGCTTCCCTGTCTTTGCCACAGGCCCCAGTCAAATCCAATATTATCCACACTTGTTAGGATGAATGGCAGGTTAAGGCCAATGACTCACAGTGCTTGTATTTAGGTAACTGTCCTTTTTCCAGCCCTAAAAAGCAGCTTCTGCTGTGTCTATCCAGCAAGGAGCTCTTTTTTTTTTTTTTTGAGACAGGGTCTGGCTGTGTAGTCCAGGCTGGTCTTGAACTTGTGGTGATCCTCCTGCTTCACCCTCAGGAGTGCTGGAAAACAAGGAGCTTCTGGTGTGTCTGTCCAGCCCTTTCTGGTGTGTCTGTGGTGCCCCTTTTGGTCATCTGGTATAAAGGGCACAGCAGGGTAGCTAGGTGCAGCACGTCTGCCAAAAACCTAGCAAGGGCACATCCTCCTATAACTGGCATACTGTCCTAGGTCTGGGATATGTTTGGATCGTACCAATGACAGCATTGGGAATTACTTTGATCTTACCCGACCAGATAACACCCAAGAATTTGACAGACAAGCCAGGTCCCTGGACCTTTGTCCATGGCCCACCCTCAACCCAGCAAAGCTTTTGCATTCGGTACACTGGTGGCTTTCAAATCTGCAAGAGGTTTACATAGGATCATCAATATAATGCAACAGTGACGCAGGGTGTGGCTTGGCCCAGGACACCAGCCGTGACACGAAGTTGGGCTATGCAAATGGCCCTGCAGCAACTGCCTGCCCTCCCGGGTGAGGCACATTGGCCCTGCCTGCCAGTGCCAGGGCGAGATGTCCGTCAAGTCTGCAATATCAGTCATTTCCCAGACCCTGTCCGGCTTCCTTACGGGCCAGGCGGAAGCGCTCTGTGCAGGGCCATCACCCCTGCTTTTTCCAAATTCAGGCAGTCTGTCCCATTGTGTCGCGGCCTCCAGGCACTGTCGTGTGGGCGCCAGCGGTGTGCAGTGTGGACGTCCTCAGACCACGGCTTCACCAGGCGCGTACGCAAGCCCAGCTCCCTGGCGTGGGGTCGCGCCGAGCACCGGCCGGCACACGCACCCCGGTCGTACTTGGCAGAGAAACACATCCTCAGCGCGCTCGTCCGCACGCCGGCCCCTAGGTCGCCCGCGTTTACCACCGGAGGGGAGCACAAGCCCTAAGTCTCCCTCGCAGGCTCAGCGACCGGCAGCTCGGCTCGAGCCCAGGGACCCACCAGCTCTGCAGCCGCGAGACCCTGGGGCTCGTTCAGCGCCACTAGCGGGCCTCGGATTCACCGCATCAGGGTGCCGCCCGAGCGCAGCGGCTGCGTTTGCACCCGGGCGTCGCCGCCGGCATCCTGAGCGCCCCGCGCCCCCTGCCGGCCGAGCCCAGCACTGCACCGGCCGTCCTCTGTCAGGTGCTGGGCCACCCGCGCAGCTGCCAGCCAGGTGGCTCTGCACACGGAACGCCAAACAGTACGCTGGGAGCAGCGCTCTCCTGCCCTATGCGAGGCTTTGGGGTGAAGTCCATGTCAGCTGGGCATGGTGGGCCACGCCTGTAATCCCAGAAGTCTGGAGGCTGAGGCAGGAGGATGGTAAGTTTGAGACCAGAGGAGGCAACTTAAGGGCACCCTGTCTTAAAATTTAAAAAAATAAGGGTGGAGGGTGTGCTGGGGATGTAGCCCAACGCAAAGGTCCTGGGTTCAATGCCCAGGGCAGCAAAAATAAACAATCAAGTAATTTTTAAAAGAAATTAAAATCACTGTCTAAGGTTTTATTTGAAAGTAGAAAATGAACAAAGTAGAAGGAAAAGAGAATACAGATCGGACAAGGCAGACAGCAAGTGTGCAAACAGAAAGCGCACGCAATCAAAAGTCAGTTCCTGGACGACTTCTCGGCAAAATCAGGCTGCATTACCAAGAAAAAGAGGAGGTAAACGACCAGAATCAGGAAGAAAAGGCGAGGGGCCGGGGATAGAGCTCAGCGGCACAGCGCCTGCCTGGGCTGTGCACAGAGGGAAGACAAAGCAGGGGAGAAGAGACGGTCTGACACACGTGTGTGCCCGTGCACACACACAGTCGCGTTTTTTTCTTTTTGAGACAGGGCCTATCTTGCCCAGGCTGGTCCTGAGGTCTTGAGCTCAAGCAAGCCTCCTGCCTCAGCCTCCTGAGTAGCTAGGACTTCAGGTGCATGCCACTGTGCTCAAAATTATATACATTATCTTTCAGGTATACTGAAAGTATTCCAGAGTGCTTCGGGCAGGTGTCCAATACACTTGATAGTTAAACTGGGCAGCCTGTAATCCCAGCACTTGGGAAGTCGGGTCAGGAGAATCATGAGTCCAGAGCCAGCCCAGGCTACAGAGTGACACCATCTAAAAAACTAGCAAATTGAGTCTAGCAATATAAAAAACGAATACAGAGCAACCAATGGGGTTTATTCCACGAGTGTAAGATTGATTTAACAACTAAAAAAGAGTGCATGAAATTCACCTTGTCAGTAGAATAAAAGAGAAAAAAACATCTCATGGTCAGGAAATGACTGGAGCTGTGACAAAATTCAGTTCTCACTCACGATAAGAACTCCTTGCAAACCAAAAGCAGAAGGCAACTTCCTCCACTTGGTAAACGGTATGACGGGGGCGGGGCTCAGTGGTCGGGCTTGCATTGAGCATGCGTGAGGCAGGGCTCAGCCCCCACCCCATCACTGAGAGGGGAAAGCACCTGTGAAATATCTATAATTGTCGCCAGACTCACTGATGAGAAACTGAAAATAACTTTCTTGACATGGGTCTTGCTAGGTTGCCCAAGCTGGCCATGAACTCAATCCCCCTGCCTCGGCTTCCTGAGTAGCTGGGATCACAGACACACTCCCCCACAATGCCTGGCTAGAAACGGAATTTTTGTTGTTGTTATTTTTTGAGACAGGGCTTCATATGTAGTCCAGGCTGGCCTCAAACTCACAATCCTCCTGCCTCCGTTTCCCAAGTGTTGGGATTTGTAGGCGTGAGCCACCATACTTTTTAGATCAGGGAAAGGGCACAGGAATAAGGTTCCACTACTTCTATCAACACTCCCTACGTCTCGTCACGGTAATAAAGGAAGAAAAAAGAAATAAAAGGCATACAGATTGGGAAGGAAGAAGCCAAACTGTATTTGAAAACGTTTAAAATCTTGAAGAATCCACTGAAAGCCATCACTATTAGTAAAAACATTTAATTTAGTGTGGTCGCGGGACTCACAGATGTCTCTAAATTAACATCTCAAGGGAGGAAGGGCTGGGGATTTAGCTCAGCGGCAAAAGCGCCTGCCTGGCAAGCGCAAGTTCGTGAGTTCGGTTCCTGGTACCAGAGAAAAACCAAAAAAAAAAAAAAGGGAGGAATTTGTAGCCTTAAAACACAAAAATTAACCGGGCGTGGTAGCGCTAGCCTGTAATCCCAGTAATCAGGAGGTTAAGGCAGGAGGATCACGGTGAGTTTGAGGCCAGCCTGGGCTACAGAGCCAGACTCTGTCAAAAAAACAAACAAAAACTCCCAAATAATAGAGAAGAGGAAAGTCGAGGCTGATGGTATAATTCAGTGGTAAGCACTTGCCTAGCCTGAGTGACACACCAGGTTCCATCTCCAGAACCACACACAAAAAAAATACAAAAATAAGGAAAGAGAAGGCAGGTGTGAAAGGCTCAGGCCCAAGTTTCCATCTTGAAATAGTCACCAAGTGAAACTGAAAGAAAGCAAGAGGGGGGAGAAGACCAAAATACATGAAATACAAAACAACGAAGAAAAAGAAAACCAAGCTTTTTAAAAAAAGGTTCATAAAATTGATAAACATATAAAATTAATCAGGAAAAAACTGAAGAGGCGGAAAGACTGCTGTGAGTTCAAGGACAGTCTGGGCTACATAGCAAGCCCCTGTCTCAAAGAAACAAACGAAAAAAGAAATTATAAATATCAGGGAAGGGGCTGGAGGGGCATCTGTGGGGCAGAGCACTGGCCAGGCCCATCAGGACCCTGGATTCCCCAGCCCTGCAGAAAAACAGAATGAAGACCAGCAGGAGAGGGGCTGGGGATTTAGCTCAGCGGCAAAAAGCGCCTGCCTGGCAAGCGCAAGGTCGTGAGTTCGGTTCCCGGTACCGGAATAACCCCTCTGGGTTATTAAACATGAGGAAGGGCAGCAAACTTCACACCAGCATTTGGAGGCTTAGACAAAACGGGAAAACTGCTGAAAAGCACAACCTATCTAGACCTTCCTCAAAGAGTAAACATCTTTCCAGCCACGGCCTCGATCCCACTGCCGCCGCAAGGTTGATGCCCAGGAAGAACTGGATCGCCGTTTATGAACTCCCTTTTAAGGAGAGGGTGCTGGTGGCCAGGAAGGACGTCCACATGCCTAAGCACCCAGGGCTGGCAGACAAAAATGTGCCCAGCCCTCACGTCATGAAAGCCATGCACTCTCTCAAGTCCTGAGGCTACATGAAGGAAGTTTGCCTGGAGACACTTCCTCTGGTACCTCACCAACGAGGGCATCCAGCATCTCCGAGACTACCGCCACCTGCTCCCTGAGAGTGTGCCTGCCACCCTGCGCTGCAGCCAGCCGGAGACTGGCTGACCCTGGTTCAAAGGTGTGTGTGTGGGGAGCCAACAGAGACACCTGCAGACGCAGCGCCGTGCCCTCTGGGGTCCACAAGAAGGCCGAGGCCACGGCTGGGCAGCCACTGAATTCGTTTAGAGGCAAATTTGGTCGTGGATGTGGTCAGCCACCTCAGTGAAGTCGGAGGACTTTATTTTCTGTTGAATGACTGTGTAGCCAGAAAAACAAAAAAAGAAGTAAAAATCTGAGTGGTTTTAAACTTTCACATACAAAAAATTCCAGGTGTGCATAAGCCCATCAGGGAATTCTCCCAAATATTTAATGAAAACATAATATGGTACCTACCTTATGCAGTGCCCTCCAGAGAATAGAAAGAGAAGCTTTTCACTTCATTTAAAAACTTTTTTTCTGTTTTTTGAGGACAGGACACCCCCGTAATGTGTTCAGGCTGGCTCTGACTTCAATGTGTAAACCAAGCTGGCCTTCAACTCATGGCTAGCCCCTGCCTCAGCCTCCCAAGTGCTGGGACCACAAGTGTACATACACCACCATGCCCGGCTTTCTTCATTTTATGAAGCTGATTTAACCTTGTCAGCCAGTGTGACAAAGTCCTTACAAGAACGTAAATCTCATGAACATGTGTAAAGAGCCGAACAAAATGCTGTAAGTGAAACCCAGTGATAAAGATAACATACACATCTGTGTCTGGAACCCCTAAGGCCACATCTAGTTTCAGGGATTCGCTAGGAGCATTCACAGGACCCCACTAGAGGTGAAGCCACGGCTGTGACCCCTGATAGCCAGCCAGCAGGAGACTTCAGACCCAGCAGGGCCACAGCCCCAGTCCGGAGGAAGCCAGGCACCAGCTCCCCAAGGGCCTCTCTCTCCCGGCACCCCCACAGGATGCAGTGCTTCCTCCAGCACCGGGTCCTGACCGCACAGGAGGCGCCCGCAGCTGACCCCGGGCCCAGCACTGGGACCTTCTGCCACCATGCCAGGCTCCCGCAGGACAGCGGGCACTCTGCAGCCTCCACACTCTTCTCAAAGGAGGAACGGGCCTGCGTGGGTGGGTGGGAACCCTTCAAACTCCAAGTTCTCCCACGCCAGCCAGCGGGGCACTTTCCCGGGGGAGCAGAACCAGGCTTGCCAATTTAACTCTTTCCTGCACAATATCACAGCCACACAGGTCTATTTCCTCGAAGCCCAGGTTGGTTACGCCCTTGGGGAAAAAAGTGTCATTCATCACATCAGCAGGTAAAAGGCAACACTGGGATGGAGTTCCCACCAGACTCAGAGAAAGCCCTTGAAATGCAGAAGCTGGGTATTGTGGTACACAGTATGATTCCAGCTACGCAGGAGTCTGAGGCAGGAGGACTGAAAGTTTAAGCCAGCCTGGGCAACTTACTGAGACCCTATCATAAAATAAAAAGTAAAACGGGCTGGGATGTAGCTCAGCGGCAGGGTGCTTGCCTAGCACGAACAAGGCCCAGGGCTCAATCTCTAGTCCCACCACCAAAGAAGGGGCTAAGAAGCAAAACTGCCTTCCCTTGCAGACGACGCTGGATGCTGGTAGAACGCGTCGGGTGTCTACTAACGCCTAGCAGACGCAGCTCGTGGGGTGGAGGTGGCCGGGGGGCGCGGCCTGGACCCAGAGCTCAGGTCAAGGTGAGGCGCGCAGTCCCGCTCCCTCGAGCAAGGGGCTCGGCTTTATTTAACGCTTGCTCAAGGGGCTGAGCCGAAACCCTCCGTGTGGTCCGCCACGCAGGCTCAGTGTCCCTCCTAGGTCGTGGGGCGAGGGGACCAGGCCCAGGGGGCGGCGGTGCCTGCTGTCTGCCGAGCTGTGGGCGACTCCGCCCCACCGTCCACTTGGGCCCCTCGGGGTGGCGGCGAGCGCAGGGCACTTTGGAAAAGAGGCCGCGGGCCTTAGGGTTTCCGCGGCAACGAGCTACCTTTTCATTACAGCACAAAAGCAGCCACAGACCGCGCGTACACGCGTGGGCGTGCCGGCGTCGCCCTAAACCTGTGGTCCACAGAACCCAGGCGCGGCGGGCGGACCCAGCCTAACGTTCCCGTGCAGTGGGAGTGGGAGGGGTGCAGGATGCGAGCTCTCCGCACCCTGCCCTCGCTCTGCGGACCCTGAATGGAGCTCAGGCTCCGGGGCCGCGCGTCCCGGCCTCGGCCCAGCCCGCCCGGCGGCGGGTGGGTCGGCGGCTCTCCGGCGCGGCCGCCCTTCCCTGCGCCCGCCCACAGCGCCGCCCGCGTCGGAAAGGCTGGGTCCTCCGGGCCGCGCGGACATCCGCCGACGCCGTGTGGCTCGAGCCCCGAGTCCGTGCTGACCCTTCCGCTGATCCTCAAACGCTTCCTGGAAAAGACAGCGTGGGGCTAAGGCCGGTCCCCTGCCCAACGCCCTGACCCCGGATCCAGGGTCCGCAGGGCCACACCACGGGACCGCGACAGGTTACCGCACACCTGACACCGCCCGCGGCGGGCTCTCCTTCCGCGCATGCGCGGCGGCCCATCGAGTGCGGCGAGCGGGCAGAGGGGCCGGCCCTGGCCGCTCCGTCCCTGCTTCCGGTGGCGCCTCGCTGCTCCAGCCGCGGACGCAGTTTCCATGGGGACTGAAGATGGCGCCGCGAGGTGAGGTTCCGGAGGTGTGTGAGTCCTGGTCCCCGTCCCGTGGGCACAGTCAGCCTTCCACTCCTTCTAGCCCAGACGTCGGCCGAAAGCCCCCATTTTCAGGCGTCAGGGACGTCGCTCCCCGTGTGTGCCGGGCGGGGACCCATGCCGGGAGGTCTGGCTATGCGGGCTGAAGCACTGTCCCCAGTACCCTCAGCCCGGGCTGTCCTCGCTGGCTCAGCGAGCAGCTAGGTGCCGCGAACAAGCCGGTGTCGGTCTCCGAGCCATTTGCCCTCCCACATGGTGACTGGCGGGTTCGATCTTTGGGTGCCTTTCAGCTGGGATGACTGCCGAGTTAGCTCCTGACTGTGTCCCCGGAAGCCAAAAGTATGTTCCTGGGAAAGGAGCGGGGAGGCAGGCCCCTCGCACTATACCCCTTAGCCCTGCTACCTCAGCAACCAGAAGCATCCCGGAGGGCGCAGCCCCTCGTTGCGACCTCCTTTTCTTCAGGTTAGACACATGGCCATACAAGGAGCAGAGCTCGCGCTGCCCCCCACCCCCCACCCTCTGGCTCCTTTCAGGTAAACGGCTGTCCTCCACGCCCCTGGAAATCCTGTTCTTCCTGAACGGCTGGTATTATGCTACCTACTTCTTGCTGGAACTCTTCATATTCCTGTATAAAGGTAAGGCTGGGGTTGACTGACCTTTCCCACTTCAGCCCAGAGCCAGCCCACCAAGAGCCACTTTGTTCTCCAGCCTTCTCTGCACTCCCTCCCCCGTGAGGTCTCTCCATCAATGGCTTCATTGACAATGGCTCAGTAGGAAGGCTCTCAGCAAGACTGGAGCTGGGGAAACGTAGCCTTCTGCATCCTGACTCCTCCTCACTTCTGTGCTGAGCTCCACTTCCGCCACTGGTGACCCTCAGAAGGCACTGTCTGGGCTTTGCATCCCTGGACCCAGATCAGTGGGCAGCAGAGTCCCCACAGGCTGCCTGCTCCACAAAATGCTACTGCGTGTGCCCCCTGCCCTAGTGTGTGCAGTGCTGGTGGCATCGTCCGAAGGCGCCTCCCTTTGTCTTGCTAGGTCTGCTGCTGCCCTACCCAGTGGCCAACCTGGTACTGGATGTGGTGATGCTCCTGCTGTATCTTGGAATTGAAGTAATCAGACTGTTCTTTGGTGAGTGTTGTCCAGAGAATATTTCCATTCCTTAGGAGACTGTAACTTGATTCACAAGACACAGTACATGACCTAGGCTCACCAGTGAGAGATCGGGTCAGGCAGTATATCCATTACTTCCCAGCTGAAGCTTCAAATTTTGGGTCAGTGTTGCTTTGCAAGGCATGGGCAAGAGCTGGGCAGTAGCTTGGGCTCTTAGACAATTCCTTCTCAAGGCTGCCTTGCCACGAGAGCACCTGCTTCCTCGTGTTCTTGCTGGTCAGCTGGGAGAAGAGTTTCCAGGGTGACTGTGTCTGGGACAGAACATGCCTGCCCAGCACTGAGATCCCCTCTGCCTCTCTGACTAAGGATCTCTTTAGCACAGAAAATACACCACTAAACCCTTTCCAGTTAGAATATTGCATCTTTGAAAGTAGTGTTAATGTACACATAGTACAAACTTGCAACACATACAAAAAGGATAAAGATGACTCACATAAATTACCTAAGGAAAAAGACAATTTTAAAATTGTGTGAGGGACACTAATAGACTGTCCACATAAGAGTAAAGGACCAAATTGTGAAACAGGAAGGAGGGGAAAAGTTAAAAAAATAAGAAAAGAAGGAAAAACTGGTAACAAAGCTTTTGTTGTGGGCCAGGGATTTAGCTCAGTGGAGCAGTGCCTGCCTGGCAAGCATGAGATCCTGAGTTCCATTCCCAGTACCAAAACAAAACAAAACAAAACAGAACAAAACAAAAACAAGCTTTTGTAAATAAGGATGGGAGGAGAGGTTGAAGGGAGAGGAAGGGAATGGGGAAAAAAATCAAATCATATCATGTACAGGTACAAAATCCCTATGGCGAATGTGATCACTATGTGTATCTAAAATGTACCAATAAAATCTGATTTAAAAAAGAGTGAAGGACCGATAAACTAGATAAGATACCCTAACTTAGTAATAAAAACTGAAACAATAAGGCACCATTTTTTTCACCCATTAGCTTGGTAACGGCAGATTTACAATAGCCACCACTAGAGAGGGCCTGGGGAACAGCTACTGTGAATGCTTTTGTGTATACAAATATTTTTTTATATTTTCTAAGATTTTTTTTTTTTTTTTTTGGTTTTTCTCTGGTACCAGGAACCGAACTCATGACCTTGCGCTTGCCAGGCAGGCGCTTTTGCCGCTGAGCTAAATTCCCAGCCCCTTATTTTCTAAGATTATTCTCGGTACTAGTTGAAAGTTTTCATGAGTATATCTATATTTACATTTTTGTGGGGAGCCAGGCTGGGAGTAGTTTCTGTGCAGTAAATGACCCCAATCCCACAACCCCCACAAGCCTAGGCAAATTCCCCCCGTGGTTTTTCTCTGCTCACTGTCAGTCATATCCCACCCAGCCTTTTGCTGAGGCCATGGAAAGAGGCCAGTTGGAGGTGACTGGCTGTGTCTGACAGGTACAAAAGGAAACCTCTGTCAGCGGAAGATGCCACTTGGCATCAGTGTGGCCCTGACCTTCCCATCTGCCATGATGGCCACCTATTACCTGTTGCTGCAGACCTACGTGCTCCGCCTGGAGGCCATCATGAACGGCATCCTGCTCTTCTTCTGTGGCTCAGAGCTGCTGCTGGAGGTGCTCACCCTAGCTGCTTTCTCCAGGTCTGTGATTTGGGCTGGGCCTCCATGAGGGGGATATCTTGCTTTGGGAGGGTGGGCTAGATGCCTGCCTGTCCTGATTCCAGCAGTAGAATGTTTCTTCTAGGGAAGATACTCTTCTGATTCTTTGGACCAAGAAACTCTGAATATGAATAGTTTGGGCCAGCTGCACTTGCTCACCCATCTTTAACATTCTCTTTCTTTCTTTCTTTCTTTCTTTCTGCCATCAGTGTGGACAAGATTTAAAGCGCAAAAATTTCAGCCCACAGCCCATCAGGCCAACACACACTGCAGCACTTTAGCCCCAGCCCTGAGATGCACTGCATCATGTTGGCCTGGGAAAGGTCACGCAGGTTTTCATCAGCACGGACACCTGGGAACCCAGCCCAGTGAGGCCAGTGTACACCATCTTCTAGACCAGGACCATCAGCTGGTAGGCTCTTCTACTCCACTAGAGGGGCAGGCTAGCCCCACTCTGGCCTTTGTCCAACAATTCCTAGCAGACCTCAAGTCCTCTTTGATCGCCATAGCCAGAACATCTTTTGTGGATCATCAAGGCTCCCGTACGTGCCATGCCACACCTGGGAGTCCTGCACATACCCAGAGAGCATCAGGGTGGTGTGGGGGATGTGACAGACCCCTCACCATTCCTCCAGGAGGCTGACCTCCGGGACATTTGTAGTAGTGCATAGTGTTATTTTTCTACTTTGATCATGAAGCAAACTTTTATAATAAATACGTATTTTCCATTTGGGAGTGTTAGCATTTCCTTACAGCACCTGTCCCTAGAATCTCATCCCCTTGGGGAGGGCAGACTGTCCCCAGGAAGGTCCCACAGATTTGCTTTCCTGACTGCAGCCTGAGCAAGTCCCAGGAGGCACTGATCCCGTCTTTTTGTTTTTGGTTGAGACAGGATCTCACTATGCAGTCCAAGCTAGCCTTGAACTTGCCTCCATCCTCCTGCCTCAGCTTCCTGAGTGTTGGGATCTCAGGCGTGCACCACCATGCCTGGTTCAGATCATTTTCTTTAGATCTCCTACAAGTCTGTGCCAGGGCTCCCAGTTGGTGTCTCATCTCTTGCTGCTCTTACAGTTGTCTTCCTTTCCAGGGAGGGCCAAGTGCAGTCAGAAGTGTGCTCTTAACTTACCATGTTCTCTGTGTTTGTTTCTGGGGAGAGAACACAGATCCTCCTGAATACTAGGCAAGTGCTCCCTACTGAGCTACATTCCTGGTCTCTATTTAAAACTTCGGAAGTGAAAGGAGTATTTTTTAAGCTGGAGGATGGTTTCCTGCAGATGAATGTCATTTCCTTCTCAGTAGCCAACTCTACAACTGCTCCACATTTTGGTAGTGGGCATGGTTTTCATCCCCAAGAGACCACCAGGACCCCTGAAAGAGCATCCCATTAGCAAGCCTGAGGCCTGTCTGCCCAGTGTCAGATGAATTCTCGATCTGCCTTTACTGTGAGCCTTCTGAGCTGGCTTTCCCTGTGATCTGGCTCATTTTCATCCCGTGGTCTTCACTGCCCAAAACATGATGCCTTCTCATTTCTCTGGCCTTTGTCCACCAATTCCTAGCAGACCTCTTCTTTGTGCCTTGTGGCCTTGCCTCCTGATGCCCTGGGGGTCTACCCAAAGCTAGAGTGACAGACCTGGTCAACTAAGAAATAGAAACCAGAAAGTCCAGTAGGAACTTCCCCAGTTCCTGATCACAAGCTCCGTGAATACCCATTTTCTGTTGCTTCTCATACTGCCGCTTTGGTTTTTAGCACTGCTGTGAAGTTGTCACCAGCATCAAGCTGGAGGGAAACCCATCCTCCACAACCCGCTCTCATGCAGTGTTCAGGAGTGAAGGCCACCCTCTCAGCTACACAGATAAATGAATAAGAAGTGCAGGGCTGGCTTGTGAAATGTGAATGTTTGTGTTCAAAGGGGCTGCAGAGCCCACCTCAGCCTAAGCCCCCGCTCCCGCACTTAGGGGCTGAGGAAGGAAAGCGACGTAACTGGTCACTGCCTGGTGGAATTCCAAGCCCATACTGTGTCTGCAGTATGTCCCTTCTCTCAACAGGCTCCCACGGGAAAACGAGGGCATGACTAGGAGGCCCTCCTGCTTAGGGTTATGAGGAAAGTCCATACATTTTTTCTCCCAGATGTTGCTGGGACCACTGTGTGCAGCTGATCATACTGTACAGTGGAAACTGAGGCTGCTGCAGAGCACAGGAAATCTTCCAGCGGCTGTGCTTGTTGGAATGCAGGGAGGCTACTGTACAGACCAGACACAGAGGTGCCCACAGTCTTGACAGTGGCTGGCAGAAGCCTTTTCTGCTGTCTCACACAAGGCCAGAACAGGAATGTCTGCAGTGGCATCTCGGCTGGGTGATGTCCGGGTCCAAGGTATTCAGCTCATAAAAGCAGCGGGATCTGAACACAGGTAACTGTGGGTCTCTCCTTTCCCTACCCTGGTGTTGACCTGGGGAACCTAAATGTAATCTCACCTGGACATTCTCACACTCTCATCTCCATGAATAATTTATCTGGGGCATCCACAGCAGATGCCGGTCAAAGAGACTGAGCACAGCACCTGAACTTTAAGCAGAATGGCAGGTATCACAGGCAGCGATCAGAGCTCAGCTCAAACACTTGTCTACACATTTTCCCTCCCCTTTAGTTTCACGCAATCCCAGCCTTTATACGGAATCATCTTGTGAAGGCTTTCACTCCTTGCCTGACACAGTGCACACACTGTCGTTAACTACTCTGCAACTCACCTCTTTTTCACTGAACCTTCCTCTCACACACTTTCTTTTTAAACAAAGGTGACTTAGTGGGCTGGGGATGTGGCTCAGTGGTACAGTTCTTGCGTTGAACGCACAAGGGCTTGGGTCAATCCCTAGCACCAAACACACAAGAAAAACAAACACAAAACAACTTGTAAGACTCATTTGTTTGGCTTCTTGGGTAGGTGCTGCTCGCACAGCAAGACATACATCCCAATTTGTGATCCTGTCACGGAACCATCCCTGACTCTGCCAACCACAGCTCCCTCTACTCGGGCTGTTTTAGGGACCAGCCTCGCCCTCAGTAACACATGCTGGTACTCTAGCTGAGTTGTGCCAACAGTACACTCACGAGACACGACCTCTCTGCCTGCAGGCCTCCAGCCCTATCCTGTCAACTTCACTTACCTGGCCTTAAAAATCTGTCTTTTCTCGAAACCCAAGATTCGCCCACAGCACTTCCACTAACCTTTCTAAACCGTACCTCCTATTTCAGTGGCTGTTTAGTTCTGTCTGGCATTCAGCACATGCCTGTGTGAAGGCAGACAGCTGCTCATCTTCGTCAAGGCCACACTGCATGTCCATGGTTCAACGATCGGGGAACCAGGCCCCAGCCAGGTCTCCTGCCAGGGCAGTCTTCCCTTCCTGCACTCCACGGTGCTGGAACCCAAACTCCACAACAGAAGTCTTGGTGCTCTTGAAGGATAAAGGATGACTTAAAGTGTTCTTTGAGCAGGGTGTTTTGGGGCCAAGGAAAAGGTTAATCTTTGGAGGGCCCTCCTCCTCTGGCTAGGGGACCCCTTGCCCAATACACAATTCCTGCTAGGAACTTGGGGTTCCCTACCATCCCACAGCATCTACATCAGCCCCACCCACACCCCAGAAACCTCAACAAATCTATTCAATGCAGAATCCATACAACAGCACACACCCCATTTATTATTTCAAAATATTTTGTTACAAAAGGAAAAAAAATACAATGCAGTATAAAAGATTGACAGCGTCATCAAGTTTATTACACAATTTTCAACCTATCAGAAAGACAAACAAATCACCGACAACGGGGGACGGGGCCTTGGCCTTTTTAGGGTGGGGATTCTTTTCCTTTTGCTATCAGGAAATAAAACTAAAAATTGTGTCATTGAGTAAAAACAAAAAATGGGGAGAAAATAATTCTCCAGGTAAACAGCTTCTCTGATATTCTATATACTGTTTTCCTTAGACTCACCTTACTTGGTTTTCTCTACATTTTAAAAAGACACACGGAGCTGCTCTCAAGGGTAAGCGCATCACTTACCACCTGGCCAGCGGGGCAGGGTGCCGTGGTCTGAGGCGGAGGGGCACAGGGCTGGGGGACGGGATGAAGGCTACAGTCTGTAGCCTGTCCCAGGGGAATGTGCCTCTCCAACCCTGGGCTCCCCAGTGACTGAGGGGTGTTTCAGAAACGTGCTAGGAACAGAGGAAGGGTTCAGTCCAACTCAGCCTCTCCCCTGAGCGAGAAGGGTCTCTGTGACCCTGTGCCCCAGCCCCATCCGGCCTCCCACTCGGTGTCAGGTGCCCTGGAGAGGCATGCAGAGTAGCCTCACCCTGGGCACTACAGGACCCTGCTGCTGGTACTTCCTTCAGTGGCAACCACAGGACAATTTGGGTGTTTTGGGAAAAGCAACTCCATCTGTCTGGGTAGAACATGGCCTGAGTGCTGGTCCTTAAAACTCTGGGCTAGGCTCCGTTTCTTCCTCACTGCTTACCAGAGGCAGGAAAGACCTTCAGGTAGAGTGGAGCTCATGAGTCAGAAGGTGAAAGGACACCAAAGCTGACTTCATCTGCCTAGCAGTGCCACTCACCCCATGATGTGTACAAGTATGTACCTGGGGACACAAGTCCATGCTTAGCTTAGGCTGAGAAAGGGAGAGGCTGGGAAGCTGGCCAGATCCCACCCAGGCTGCCTCCTCCCTGCTCCTCTGACACTTGGCTAGGCTTCTGCATTGCTGAGGTCCAGAGCCCTGTCTCCCAGCGGCAGTAACTTCCTCTAAAACAAGGAAGCGGCTTTCCTGGGGGAAGGGCGCCATGCGTACATGACCCGCCCAGGGAGAGGAACACCAGAGGGCTGGTTATTGCGAGAGACAACCAAGCACAACGTGGCACGGGGCTTCCAGGAGAAGCAACCCCAAGGCCTCTCTGCTCAGGGGCAGGACCAGAGGCGCTGGGCAGCAGGGAGCCAGAGGGCTTCCGTCCTCTAGGGGTCAGGGACATAACAAGATGCAAGAGGGAAAACCAAGACCAGGAGGAGCTCGTCACTAGGTAACGTCTGTTCTCCTGGTCCCTTCTCAAAGGGTAGGGAAGGGAAAGGCGTTAACAATGGTACATCAGCAAGGGCTTGGGCCCTCTTGGCCCCATCAAACCTAGTGCTAAGGACAGGGCCCTGCATATTTTGGCACAGCCGTCACCTCCAAGATCTGCAAGGAGGACCTGTTTCCTTGGGAAGGAAGCTTTTCCACCAACATCACCACTGCCTGCTCCCGGAGTCAGAAACACGCACACTTCCTCGGGCAAAGCACCATTCTCTGAGGACCAGGGCCCCAGCACAGAGCCTACTTCCTGTCTGCCACCCTCCCAGCCACACGGACTAGGTTCTCCCCCTGGCAGACAGGAGGTGTGGGGCTGAGAGGGCTGCCAAGCATCTTCAAACCTGTGGGGCAGAGGGAGTCCCTGGGTGTCAGGAGGATGAGGGGAGTGGAGCAAGGGGAGAGTGGAGCGGCCTCCGTCCTTTAGTCCTGATCAAGGTGGAGATGCGAGTCCGTTAAAAACATTTGCTTCCAACCAGACTCCTGCAATGAGAACATCAGAAGAGGAGAAAGAACAAAGGTTATTTACTGGGCCGCAGGAACCACCGGCCATTTCCGAAGGAGGTGTCAGAGACTGGATATGTGCGCAGAGGGCAGAGAACGAGCCTGAGCCTGAGCCTGAGCCTGAGCCTGAGCCTGAGTGCGAGCAGAGGTGAGGGGATGCTGGGGGAGCAGAAGCAGGCACAGTGGACAGGAAGGGTGGGGGACACGGATAGAGTGAGGTCTCACAAGCAGCCTGGAAAGGAGACATGCACTGGAAAAGCATGGAAAGCTGCTACAAGGGAGTAGGGTGAGTTTACTGTCTGAGAGAGTCTGTCCTGAGAAGTCACAGCTTATCTTAGCGGAACAAAAAAATTCTGGAAATGGGAGGCACGGTGATAAAAACGAGCGTGCAGACAGCCAAACCCATCGGCCCCAAACAACCACAAGGCCCTGCGGGGACCACGTACTGCCACAGCAAACTCCCACTTCCCTGCCTTCTGTTATGTTTTATGTTGAGGCAGGTTCTTGCTAAATCATGAAGTTGCCCAGGCTGGGCTCAAATTCGTGATCCTCCTGCCCCAGCGTCCCAAAAGTGCTGGCATTACATGTGTTCGCCACTGCGCCTGGCTATTCTTTGTTTTCTTTTAATCAAGCCCTCGTTAAACAGAGTCTCAACAGTGCTCTTATGAGTACGCGCAGCAGCACACAGTGCCAGAGCTTCCCCAAGCCTTTCCCAGGTGACAGCTGTGGGTGAAGGACCAAGAAGCAGAGGAACCACCAGGCAGGAAGGACCTCACCAGGCCAAAACAGAAAGGACAGCACTGAAGGAAAAGAAAATCAGCAGTAGAAGTCTGAAAGCAGCCTGCCACAGAGGCACACACCTGTAATCCCTGCACTCTGAGAGGCTGAGGCAGAGGCAGGAGGACCTCAAATTTAGCCCAACCCAGAAATCGAACTCAGGACCTTGTGCTTGCCAGGTAGGCACTTGTGCTCCTGAGCTATATCCCCAGCCCTTCAAAAAGTCTTAAAAAGGGTTAGGGATGTTGCTCTGTGCTAAGGTCGTGGGTTCAATCCCCAGTACTGCAACAAAGAAAAGGCATGGAAAGGAAACCTAAAAGTATCACCAGTAGGAGTTGGTTAGGCCACTTGTCATACCACCAAACTCAGGCTCCCTGGCACAGCACTGCAGGACCAACCACCTGCAGGTGGCGGTGTGGTCAGTCTGACCACGCAAATAGACCTAACAGTCCAGACAAACAGGAGACCTGAATTCTAAATTCCAACTTAGAACTTCAGAAGGCTTTTTCCTTTCTCATGCTGGGGAATCTGTGCTAGGGTAACACAGGCCTAGCTAGCAATTCTTCTAGGCCCATACCAGCAAGCCAGCCTCCACACACTCAGCTTATATGCACACTTGGAGGGCTGCCCCAGGAGATAAGGATGTCCACCTGCTGCCTGACCCTTCTGACCCAGAAATGGCACTGTTCTCAGTGTGGAGCCCAGATTCTGCACAGCCTCGGCCTCTCTGGCTCCTCCAAATATCTACACAGGCCAGTGTGTCCTGCTTTACCGAGACCACTGAAGCCCTAATGCAGTCTGCACTCATACCTTTAGCCTCTGGATCTCTCAACCAGGTGAACACTGGATACAAAGCTCAGTGGTTACAGATCGGGCATAAGAATAAGGTGAGAATGACTATTTCAAGTAGGAAAATGTCTTCTTTTTTTTGCCTTTTTGAGACAAGATTTCACTATGCAGTTCAGGCTGGCTTTGAACTCTGTAGCCTAGGTGGGCCTCGAACTCACAGTGATCCTCCTGCCTCAGCCTGAACTTGGAGTGCTGGGATTACAGGTGTGTGCCACCATACCTGGCCAGGGAAATGTCTTAATGAGACAACTGACACAGTTGAGAACTGCAGGCTGGTCATAGCAGCACCCACATGTAATCCCAGTACCCAGGAGGCTGAGGCAGGAGGCCAGCCTGGAAAATATAGTGAGTTCAATGCCAGCCTGGACTATATATAGCAAGACCCTGTCTCAAAAAAAACAAAACCAAAGCCGAACCCACAGATTAGCTAAGAACTCCCTCAGACTCCAGAGTACATACACACATCCTGGAAGAGACGATTTAATGTGAACTGTTGTTCCAAAACAAGACACAGAGGAACTCTGGTGTGTCGAGAGCACTCGGTTCTGAAAGGCCTGTGGCCACATTGGTGGAATGTGTCGATGCAGACAGAAATTGGGTTCTGCAGCGGCTTCTATGCCTCAGGCCCCAAGCTGGCCCACCCCTGAAGAAGGTGGGTGAGCGAATGCTTCCACTGGTCCTGGACAGACTCCTCTCCTGCCGCCGAGCCGCTTCACAGACTGCTGGTACTGTTCTCTCCAACAAAAAGACTGTGGGACAGAGACTATGGAGCTGTCTGCAAGGCCCATAGGGCCCATCCTTCCCCAACACCTGTTTAATGCAGATGGCACTGGGGGTTCTTTGGAAGGGAGCTTATGACAATGACACTTGTGCAGTGTGTGATTTAGTTCTTTTGGACTGAACTATTACAGGAAGCCCCAATTTATGGACACTCAAGTTGTGAACTCTCTACTCCAAAAATTCTCCTGGAACAGGAACTTGTTCCTAAGTCCTACGTTGGGGACTTATATGTTGATACAGAGTAAGGCACATTCCTAAGGGGCAACAAGCAGGAGGGGGCAGTAGGAAGCCTGTCTGGGTTAATAGCCCTTGTGTTGCCATGGCCTGTGCCAGTCACATGTGTTACAGGATTTCCCGAGTAATGGTAGAAACAGACCTATCTTATGGGCAGCGAAAGCAGGCAAAGTGGTAACTCAGGAATCAATCTCAAAGCACTGACAGAGCAGCAGGCAGGCCTTGCACACCACAGCCCTGTGAGAAGACTGCAGGGAGCAGAGTCAGCAGGCACGGTGACACACGGTGTCCTCTAAGTGGTCACCCGGATGTGGCCCTGGAGACTGTAAGTAATCATGCTCCACATGAACCAATTAATTACCACCACCTTGGTCACCCTTAGCCCGGTGAGTTCCAAAGGACACACAGTATGGCTAGCATGACGGAAGGGGGCGTCAGTGTTGGACCTCAAGCAAGCCACAGATAAGCCAGCTCGAATGAGAGGAGGAAACACTGCTGCTGACACAGAGGAGGCACAGACCAAGACTACTCCTGCCACTTTGAGACCCAGCCAGGCCCCGCTGCACTGGTCTGCTTCTCCAGAGAAATATGGGCACTTCCCAAACTCCACCTGGGATGAACTCCAGAAAGCAGTGCCCAGAAGCCACAGCCTGCCTGCTGGTTCTGTGCAGGTTGCTGAGACCTCAGTATTCTCACACAACCTAGAACTTTGCAGAACAAACCAGTGGCTGGAGAACAGAGGCAGCAGAGAAAAATATGCATCACTTTCCCTCTTGCCACTTACTTGCTACATGCTGTGAAAGGAGATAAAAACAACTCCTGGCTATAAATCTGTTTAAGTCAATGGCAAGTAAAGCCAAACGACAAAGCAGGGGCAGCAGCACACCTGCAGGAGTAATCTGTCTGTCAGGAGGCTGTCACTATGCAAAGTGCTACAGAAGCCTACGGCGGCCAGCTCTTGCTCATCAACTACAGGGACACACACCAAGACAGTGAAGGGTCCCCGTCCTCCCTACCCTTTGTTCTCAGGAAGTAGAAATCAAATTGAGGGGGACCCTACCCTGGGGCTATGGCTGCAGCTGTGTGTGTGTGTGTATGTTTTTTGTTTTTTTTTTTAAATTTTGAGATTAGGGTCTCATCAGATGGGACTTGAATTTGTGGTCCTCCTGCCTCAGTCTCCCAGACTGCTGGGATTACAGGTGTGTGCTACCATACTTGGTTTCTTTTCCCTTTTTCCTCCCATCATCCACATATCCATCCCAAAGACACCAAGCAGCACTACCACTCTTTCTCGCCACCCTCTTTAACTACTGTTATTGCTCTGAAGAGTCAAGCAGACAGAAGACGCCTACACCATCTCCACAATGCTCATGACATAAGACAGAGGGGAAAGTTCCAGACATATGTACACCTGCAACTACAAACTTGAGAAAGGTCTCAGAGGTCATCAGGGTCATGCACTGGCTCCCGGGAGCCACAGCTAGACCCTCCCGGCCTGAGCCTCCCGTTCTACAGATTTCCACAGAAACCGTGTGGCTCCCTTCCACACAAGCTGAGATTGGGCTGATGGGATGTCACCCATAGCCAGACCTCCAAGACGGAGCCTTTCTGAAGATGAAAACCAAGAGACGCAGAGCTGCAGAAGGCAGACACTGAGTCCCAGGGTCGGAGCTGGAACTCTTGGAGCCAGATAACCCTCAGGAAACTTTTCAGTTACCTAAGCTAATAGGTCCCCCAGCCCTGCTTTTGTCTTAAAACACAACAACGAAACACTCTATTCTGGTAAAGTTACTCATCCTCCACAGTCTCAAAGCTGTAATTTTTTTTTTTTTTTGAGACAGGGTCTTGCTATGTAGCCCAGGCTGGCGTCGAACTTGTGGTGATCCTTCTCCCTCAGCCTGCCAAGTGACACCATGCCCAACTCAAAGCTATAATTATTTTCAGATCAGTTATCTCTGAAACCCCAATTTTTAAAATAGATACAACTCTTAAAATTATTAATGTGCCATGAAAACTAAGCAATACCAATCTCACTTTTCTGCCTTGGTCAATTCTTCCCTTCTTTTTCTTTTTGAGACATGGTCTTGCTGTGTAGTCCAGGCTGGCCTTGAACTTGATTTCCAAATTTTTTACTTGTATGTTTGGTGCAGTTAAGACATAATAATAACAATGACATGGCTGGCATTTACTGAGAGCTTACTGTGTGACAGACAGGCAGATGAACGCTAAGTGCTCCATGTGGATTATCTCACGGGACATGCAGAAAGCCACGGAGACCGTGCTTCTGTGATATTCATGCACAGAGGAGGAAACCAAGAAGAGAAAGCAGCCTGGTTTACTAGTAGAGGGGCTGGAATGCACACTGTGGCATCAGAAAGCAGACCCTACTCTCAGCCACAATGTGAGGTTGTTGCTCCAATACCAGACAGGAACTCCAAGGCAGTCAGGAAACCAGCAGCTCCATCTCAGGGTGAGACTCCACACACGCAAACAGGAAATCTACCCTGGACTACTGTTCCCCAAGTCCGAAGACCTCTTCCCAACCCTGCTGCCTTTATTTGCTTGAGACACACACAGAGAAAGCATCACTATAAACACCCTCCACCCCCACCCCAAGAAATGATCCTGCCAGGACCAGGTTCCTCACCCTGTTCAGTGGTGCCGGTCCCGCTCTCTGTCCCGGTGTCTCTCGTGCTCCCGGGTTCTTTCTGGGAAGTAGTCATCATGACGATCTTCATTGTGAAGCAGGTCCCGGTGCCTCCTGCTACTGTCCCGGGACCGGCTGGGTGATCTCTCCCTGGACCGATGTCTCTTCCTATGGGAAAGATGTGTTAGCTGCACGCAGACACCTCCCACTTTCCTGCTGAGTGTCTCCCAAGTCACCTACATTACTCTTCTGTGCATGTGCTTTGGACCTACAGTCTTTTTGGCAGTGTGAGGGTTGAACACAGGACCTCCTGCATGGCAGGCATGTGCTCTTCCACGGAGCTGTTGCTCCAGCTCTTGTCTCAGGATCTTAGCTCTTTGAGGATGCATCTTTCTTGGGAAATGATGAGTTTTATTTATTCAGCTCTTAGTGCACCAGGCATAGTACCAACAGTCTACCATGCATCATCTGACCTTATCTTTACATAGGCCCATTAGCTAAGGAACAACACTGTCCCTTCTTAAAAAAGAAGAAAAATGACACATGGAAAGCTAACTGCCATGGTTATAAGGATGCTCAACAGCAGAACAGAGATTCATATCCAAGCTCACGTGGTTCAAAAACCCATTTAACTATACCAGTCTCTTTTTTCCTACCTGAACCCACTGCCTCCCATCAGGCTCCACACGTTATGACACTTGCTAGTTCTTGATCAGACACCCTGGGCTGCCTCCCTGTCCCCACCGACCCCTGCACGGCAGTGCTTACCTGGAGGAGCTGCTGCTGGCACCCACGCTGTAGGACTTGGCCTCAATGCCATGAAGGCAGTCCTTGAGCGAGGAGATGAGGACTCGGCAGCGCTCGTCGGTGGCCACCCGGGACTGCTTGATAACGGCAATGGCTGTAAGCAGTGTCTCGATCGCATCACTGTAATCCCCTGCCGGGGCAAACAGGAAAGGCTGAGGGTGAGCAGGGGCAGCAGCTCAGAGGGAGAACTCAGAAGGGCTCAAGCCAAGAACTGGCTGTTCCATAAGCTGTGGTAAAACGGGTGAAGCAGACAGGACCAGTATAACACTGGACCACACTTACATTCCAGTGGTTTAGAATATGCCAGATGCCGCTAGTGGCTGGATAAACTGGCACATCACTGGGCAGAGGCTGTCTCACAGCATCTACTGTGTGCACTATTTAACCGAGCAATTCTACTAAGAAGTCTCCACTTGCGTTTGTGGAAGCGTTGATGTATAAAGTTTCAGTGTTCTTTGTTGAATTGCTCTGAACAGGGGCCAGCTACATAAATTAAGGAACAGTTCCACAGATTACTGTGTGGTTGTTAAAAGCACGAGGTAAATCTATAGATCCACTTGAAGTGCTCAGCACCACAGTGCCAGGCACAGAGTAAGGGCTCCACAGATGTTAAATATTACTACCTCAATGTAATAAAAATGTGTCCAGGCTATAAAACCTGAAAAAAATAAGTTGCCAAACTGTATTTCACTTTTGTAAAAGCAATCAAAATTATATGTATGTTGTCATATGAACAGGAAAAAAAAATCTGGAAAAATGTATACTAAACTGTAAGATCACCCTGTGGGTGATCCTTGTATAGAGGCTTCTCATCTCCTAACACTGCTCATGTTTTTTTTTTTTTTTGTCTTTTTGAGACAGGGTCTCGCTATGTAGTTCAGGCTGGCCTTCAGCTCTGGCCTGGAACTTGTGACAATCCTCCTGCCTCAGCCTCCTGAGGGCTGGGATTATGGGCGTGCGCCATCATGCCTGGCTACTTTTAATCTTTAATCAGGCATGTGTACATATGTGACACTATGTATCCCTGAACATGTATGTGTAATATAGTTAGTTATGTGTCACTTAATGAGCAGGATACATGTGCTGCCAGGCAGCGTCACCAGTGTGTACACCATACGCTGTACCTATACAAACTAAGTCAGCTATGGCAACACTAGGCAACATCATCTTGCAGAGCCACCACCCTATATGCAGGCTACCCATGCCTAAAGCACGGTAACAGCACATAACTGTATGCACACACTTTTTAAAATTACACTGCCACAAATATCTAGTCCTTTCATTTCCCAAATCTGAGCAGTCCTGGCTCAGAGACAGCAGTCAAGGGTAGGGACTTGAACAGTGCTTTTTCAAGCTAAGTCAATAGCATGAAAGGTAGCAAACAGAAGTAAAGCATCAACCTGACAAGGGTTTGGGAAAGAGAGGACTGGCAGCTGTCTCTGTGCAGGGCATGAGGTACGGACAGAAACCAGGAAGGAAGAACTGTTTCTCACGGAAGCCCAGGAATACCAGGACATAAGCTCCACACAGGCAGGAGGTATGTGTCTGTCTTAGAGGCACATTTAAGAAATATTTGCCCAGCCGGGGGTGGTGGCACATGCCTATAATCCCAGCACTTAAGCTGAGGCAGGAGGATCGATGTGAGTTGGATGCCAATGTCGGCTGGTAAGCTCAAGGTCATCCTGGACAACATAGTGAGACCCTGTTTAAAAAAAAAAAAGTGGTCTGAATGGAACAAAAAAACAAAAAGGAAGGAACATAAAGATTTAGTTACTGATCATCTTGCAGAAAGGGACTAGCAGGGAAGACCATTTCCTCTAAATTCTGCTGTATCTTTATTTATTACAACTGATACATTACTTTTTAATTTAAAAAGACTCACTCAGATGTCAATGTAGGTTCCTCTGGTAAAGGAAAGTTGAAGAGAATATGTACCCTTTTTGATCTTAACCAACTCTGCAGATTCAGGTTAACAGCCACCAGATGAGAAATTGCAGAAAACAGTCACATGGTATTGGGGGTAAACTGCCTTAGGAGACTTGACGGGCTACAGGCGTTTACATTCGCGTGTTACACTCATGGGAAGGCAGTGAAGACTAATGTCATGATGTAAACTTGGACCAGCCCTAAACCTCCTGTATCAATTCTCCTCCTTTAAGGACCAAAGATAAAATTTTATGCTCAGGGCCCTGAAAATCACAGCTGTCGACTGTGCCTACCTAATCCTGGCAGCAAGGCAAGTTAGCTGAAAGGGAGACCTGCCTTCCAGGAAGGACTGCCGAGGCTGGCAGCTCTGCCAAGACTTCTTCAAGTAACCGGACTCTATCAAGCCAACACCTGGAAACTCCAGCTCTTTGAAGTGTGCCACTCCTTGTGTTTTGTCTTAGTATGCTCACTAGGCAGTTCAGGTTGGCCCTGGACTCACTATGCAGCCCAGCAAGTCTTGAATTCGCAGCAATCCTCCTGCGTCACCCTCCCGAGTGCTGGGATTCCAAGTATGTGATACTAGGTCTGGTTTGACCCATGCCACTCTTGAAACTTGACAGTGCTCCATCTTTATCTTGTTGAACTTTTACCAGAGGAAATGATAAAACAACAGGGAAACCAAAGGTAGACAGCAGTAAAGTTGAGTTACCTGCACTGGCTCCAGACACTGCTTTGGAAATGGCACTGCTGGAAATTGCTCTGTTTCGCTTCATGATCTCTTCAAACTCAGCTTCACTCACTGTAGAGGGCGGAGGGCCCGAATCTCGGCTGCAAGACAACTGCCTTCCTGAGTGCCTACCCCTTGTGACTTTTATACCCTCTATTACGGTGCTAGTGAAGTATGCACCACTGTACACTGGCCAGAAGATTCTCAGCCTGCTTATGTAGGATTTTTATGCGTTCCTCTTCTCTTGAAGACTGCATCTGTCTTCTACATGCTTCTGTAACTTTGTAACTTCTGTAACTTTGATGTGACCCAGCTGTGCCAGACACAGTGGTATCTGCAGCAGCCATTTAGGGCACTCAACCTCAAGCTCCTTGTGGTTTGGGTCAAGCGGTTAATTAAGATGCAAACAAAAACCCTAAACACCAATAAGCAGGACACCCGTCCCAGGGATTAACACTAGAATAAAGGTTTCCATGAAGGAAAATGCTAGCATTCAGAGCTCACTTATTCAGGGAGAACAAAAGCTCAGCCCTGTGTGCCCTCTAGTCTGGTTCCCACCCAAAGGAAACAACAGGGTTTTACCTGCCATGGTGGTTATACGGCGTAGAAGCCTTCATGTAAGTCTCTGGTGGAGGCCCCACTGTGGCGTTTGGTGGGGGGAAGAAGGCTGGGTTGAGGTGAAGGGCAGGTGGGATGGCCCCAGGGGGAGGTACAGTCAGATGAGGAGGTAATCGAGGAGGGGGAGGCATGAGATGCTGGTAGTGGATGCCAGGAGGAGGAGGAGGGACGCCGAAGCTTGAAGAGAGCGGTGGTGGGGGTGGGATCGGGGGTGGGGGCAGACCCATCAGGGGGAGGGCTGAAGGGGGGCGATTGAAGTAGGGCAGCACACTGGGGGGCTTATCCACACGGGCAGACGAGGGCACAAGGTTCTCAGAGGGCGTGGCCCGACCATCAGCAGAGTCACTAGAGTCTCGAGAGTGGGCCCGTGGAGGCACTCCTACAAGGCAAAGCACAGCCACATCACTGCCCACGCTTTGGGCACACCCATGGGGCCAGCTCACCCCTCAGCAAGGCATCGGACACCATTCAGAAGGTGACTGAAGAGACTGCACAAAGGAAAAATCAGCTGTGGAGAAAAAGGTCAAAGTATCTCAGTTAAGACACAAACCCAGAAAGCAACACTACCATGCACTCCCAAAGTGCTTCAGGACACACTGAATCCACTGCAGGATTTGTCTCTATGTGACACACAGAAGGAATCTAATGGCCCATGAGAAAATGACAATGCTGACCCTGTTCCTGCGGCTCAACTGGTACCAGCTGACCTGAAGCCACTCCTCTGAAAAGGAAGAGTGCACGGCTTCTCCTAAGACTTATGCTAGCTGAACTCTATTCTGCCATCCTTTAGGAAGGCTCTTTCCTATCAAGCTCTGGCAGGGAACCTGGGGAAGGAAAGGAAAGGCAGGGAACAGATCCAGTTTCTTTATCCCCATTCCCAAACAGGTACTGGGGTAGGGAAGAGACACAAAGGAGTAGCAGACTAGAGGATGAAAGAGAGAGACTGAGGATGGACGAGCTAAGAGAAGATCTGCCCATAGAGGGCACGTGGTGTGCCGTTGGCGGCAAGGCCTCGCTATAGCGTGCTGTAGAACATGCCATAAACCTGGGACTCCCACCTCCCCATGGCCAACCCTTTACCCATTGGGCCACCTACTCAGACACACCACATGACGGCGGTGCAGGGCACACCAGGCACAGCAGGGTGCACACACACCAGACACCGGCTAAGCTGCTCCCCTGCTGACCTCACAGACTAAGCCTGCCTAAAGCAGACGCCAAGGGAACATGATTGTGTGGCCTCAGGAGTCTTGAAGTAGGAAGAAGCTTAGCAAGTGTGGGGAAGAAGAGTGGTTTCTTAAACTAAAAGCTGACACTCAGCTGCAACCTGAGGCAGCTTAGGAGCCCCCCCCAACCTCACTGAGGATCACCCAGCTTATCACTAGTGCTTGAGAGAGCACACTTATTCTCCATGTCTCAAACATAGGGCCACCTACTCCACTCCCTCCTCAAGTTCTTGCAAACTAAAGAGAGTTGTTAAGCAAATGTGATCCTCGACGGCTAACTGCTTCTCAGCCACCTACTGCTCCCGTATCTGCAAAGGTTCTGCTTTGTATCTATGGCTACAAGTCCTTGGAGACCTGCCTTTCACATGCAGAGGAAGTTGACTGGCTTACTGAGTGAATTGACAGCAGATGAGCAGCACTGTTATGGCCATCTTTTTAGCAAAGAAAGGTAACCCTGAGTGGTAAAGAGCAAGATGGACAGAAGGCAGGCCACCCAACGCAACTGTACAACTATGCACCTCAGGAAACACAGAGGGCCCTGAAACAAGGGATTTGTGAATGGAGCTGTCAAGGAAGACAGGTGTGTGCCTATCTGTATCAGTTCTCGGCCAAGTTGAAGAACAGCTGCTCTTATGAAAGATGGGGGCAGCTGTGTTTCACCTGAAGTGCACGCCCAGGCCAACACAGGGCACCCTGGCTTCTGAGTTGAACACAAGCAGTGACAGAACACAGGTGATGAAACTGTGCTAGCCTTGCCCCCTTTCCTTCCATACTGGGAAGTGGACCCACAGCCTTTTCACTGAGCTATGCCCCCTAGCTCCCTTTTTACTTTATGAGACAGGGTCTCACTAAATCGCTAAGTTGCCCAGGCTGGGCTCAAATTCACAATCCTTGTGCCTCAGTCCCTCAAAGCACTGGGATTACAGGCACGTACCACGTGCACAGCCGGCTGACTGGCTTAACTTGGGCCCCATGATTGGCTGCCCCTTGTGAGGTCGGGACCAGCCCAGGTCTGGTCCTCGGGTTTCACAGGTTTGGAAACGTGATTTTACCAGTTCACCAAGGTGTAAGTGGACCCTAGGAGATTGAGTCATGCTAATCAAACCTACAGGAGACTGATTCAGGAGGCCCATTTATTAATTAACAATGAGAATAAACTGCCAAGCAGACCAGAATACTTGTGTTGGCTGGTCAGCACATTCTTTTCCCGGTAGGACAGCCTAGTTGGGAAACCAAATTAGCATCAGGAAGTGACTTGGTAAACTCAGAGTTGGAATAAAGGCAGTAAAATCACCTGAAGGGATACTGTCATCCAGCAAAGGTGGACAATGCACTCTTTAATAAGAGGATCTACTTCCCAAGCTGAAGGAAGTATTCCCAGGGATCGCACGCCCCAACACTTCTGGTTCACTCTGTGTGGAGCAGCCTTCCTTCCACATCGCTCTTGGTAAGACCACAGCCATCTTCATGTAGCTTAGTTACATTTAGGGTGGGAGAGGCACGCCTCACGAATAAGCCTATTCCCACACGCCACTTTCAGGCAGAAACACAAAATTTACAGCCGACAGGAATTTAAATCGTGGAGTGCCTAGTTCAGGTGGAAACTGGTCCTCAGCAGCAAAGCACTTTTCCCAGTCATGCGCTGAGCAGTCACAACCCAACTGCATGCAGAACTTACCTGACTTGCAGCACAAACCCTTTTCTAGCCACCCCCAATCATCTATTGCCCCAAACACCAGCGTGCTCCCCACCTCCTCCACACCACAGAGAACAGACCCAACCCTCCCCCAACACAGATGGTCTCCACGTACCCCCTCTCGGGACTCGGACGCACTCACGTTTCCGAGCCTGGGCCTCAAACTGTGACAGGTTTTGCCGGGTGGCCGGCCTCACGTCCACTTTTTCCCCATTGAGAACTTTCCCTGGCAAGAGTTCCAGCAATTTGTGGACGGAGTTTTCAGAGGCTACCACCACCTCAGCATACCTTGAAGGAGGAAAAGTAGATAAGTGAAAACAGTTCAGAGAGACAGAAAGGGAATACAGACTTCCACTTTCAGCAAAAACTGGCAAGGCGAAAGACCTTAGCTGAATTACACACACACACACACACACACACACACACACACACACACACACACGAGGTGCCAGCCTATAATCTGGGGTCTGGGGGCAGGGGATTAAAAATAAGCAATCATGCTGGGCACAGTGGTACACACCCAGAATCCCAGGTATTAGTGGGCTGAAGTAAGATTATCTCAAGTTCAAGGCCACCCTGGGCAACTCAGCAAGACTTTATCTCAAAAACAGAAACGGCTGGGAATGCAGCTCCCTACATACAGTGTCCCTGGGTTTGGTACCCATTACTGGCAACAAACTAACAAAAACAAAACAAGAAATACCCAACAGCAGCAACACCCATACCCCAGACCTCTCTGCCCTCAACAGATGGATGTTCTACCACATGGAAGCTGGGTCCCCACCCTAAGCAGTTTATTAAAACTACTGTAGAAGCTGGCCCAAGGGTTAAAGGGGTAAAATCCAGGGACAGAATATGGGGCTCATCTGTTCTCCCACTGGTTATAAACTAGATGGGGCTTCCAGATCCCAAGCCTCACCCTTTGGACTGGCCATTTGCTCGATTCTCTGCAAATTTCAACTCCACCACATCATAGACTCCTATAGAGCGAATAACCTGGATCAGCTGCTGGTCTGTGGTCCACTGAGGCCGGCAAGATGGAAAAGGGAAAATGTCAAGAGCTACATGCCCCTCCCCACCCACCCAGAAAAAAGTCTCAACCCAAACCTAGGATTCTAGTCATATTCACAACTTCCCACAAGAAACCCGAAAACCCAGCAATACTTCAATCAGTACAGGCTTCTACCACTGTCCTCACCCCTACAGAACTCCAAACCACCCCCAATCCCCATCTTTCGGGACTAATATCTGTTTTAACTCAACTGCCATTTGGGCTGACAGGTCATCAGTTTAGACATTGACTGCTAACATCGTTTAATTACAGATCAGACAGGCTAGAGCTAACCACTGCCATAACTTTCCCCTCAGCACACACATTTCCCTGCCACCAGCCCAAAAACATGCTACATAGTAACTTCTGCAAGAGTCACCACCTACCCCAGTGTATTAGAGCTACCAAGGCCTTTGATCCCCGTCACCCACCATTATCACAGGACCATCTAATGACCACCAAGAGTTCAAGGTGTTCACTCTGAAAGCTCGTCCCACAGGTGACCCTGCTAGACATAAAGCCCCAGGGTCAGGGGCAGTAATAAGATGGCAGAAAGAGCAACTACCCACTTAATCATTGCTTTCTTCGGCACCAGTACGTCCTCAGGATAGTTCTCTTTCAGAGATCAATCCAACCTGATCCCAGGAAAAAGAAATCCAACCCCATCAGAGCACAAAACAGTGCAGCAGCGGTCTGTGACAATGCCGTCACCTCCCAGGGCTCTCCCTCCAGCCCCCCAAGCCTTCCGGTTAGCCATGCTTACCCAGGAAAAGCTGCCCACATAGACGGCTGCTCGCCTACTGCGCAGGCCACTGTATGTGTACAGAATCGCGGGCGTCTTGTTGTTGGGCTTGGGAGAGGGCTCCTGGCGAACAGGTGGCGGAGGCTCAGTGCTGCTGCTTCTGTCATCTGAGGGCTGGGAGGTAGCCGTCAGAACGTCATCATATAGGTCAATCTGATCCGTATTGTTGAACTCTGGGTCCTACAACATGAGGGGTGGCCAGAGGAAGGTTGCAGACCTCTCATTTTGGTCTGTTTCATTCCAATTTATTTAGAAACCATAATCAAGCACTTTGTATAAAACTTCCTGGTCCTACTCTAGGAAACCATCAGAAACTTAGTTATGCCTGAGCAGTTCTCTCCAGACCTTCTGAGTAGCAGGCAACATTTCTGGCCTTAGCTACCTATGAGAATGAGGACTCGTGGCAAGCAAGCAAACTGAGAAGGAATAATGAGATGCCTGTGCCACTGTCTTCAACGAGGCCAGCTCTGAACAACACATCAATGCAAACACCTGCAACATCTCATGCTGTTTCCAAAACCAAGTTACATAATACTATTCTGTCCAGTAAGGAATCAAGTAAGTTTATTTAGAAATATGAAGCAGGTGAAGCATGTGGAAGTAGGTACGAAACCCAAAAAGATTGGCAGTTACTGACTTAAATCCCTGCCGGAAGTTCACAGAAGGCAATCCCGGCTTCCTGTTAACAATCAAATAAGCTGGGTGCAGCGGCTCACATCTGTCATCTCAACACTCAGGGGGCTGAGGCAGGACGATCACTGTGAGTTTGAGGCCAGCCTGGGCTACATAAGCAATGTACTACATACTCAGACCTGTCTCAAAAACAAAATAAAATTAAAAAAACATAAAAAGGAAGCAGGAGCTGGGATGAAGCTCAGTGGCAGAGTGCTAGCCTAACTTGCACAAGTCCCTGGGTTTGATCTCAACACTGTTTAAATCCTCTGAGCTCTAGACAAATCACCAACACACTCAGGTATCAGGTAGGGTGATTTGCCCTGTGGTTCCTTGTAGGGGAAGGGCTGGTAAGTCACTTGGTCCCAGCCAGTGTCCTAACCCGAACGGCACTACCACCAGTGCTCTGTGTGCTCCCCATCCCACATTCAACCAACTATGAACCAAAAATTAACAAATACAAGTAATAACCCAAGAAGTGGAATCTAACTATGTAGCATTTTCATTGTATTGGGTACAAGTAACTTACAGATGATTAAAGTACACAGAAGGAATGTTTGCAGGTTATATGCAAATACTACATGATCTTACACAAAGAACTTAAGCATTTGAGGGTTTCAGTACGGGGGATGTCTTGGGACTAATCCCTTAGGAATTCAAGTGACAATGTTCCTTATACCAAGGTCTTAAAACAAAATAAAGGTTTTCAACAAAACAAGGGTTTTCAAATAAAACTTAAAGAGAATAAGGAAACACACTTGGATATTCAGTGGAATGTGCCTGAAGGTCGTAACAAAAATGACTACTAAAAACTGGCTAGGAGGAACATGCAGATCTGGACAGCGCAGAGACCAAATGGATCCCCAGGATATCCCTCACACTGTGAGCGCAAATGCAGTCAATAACTGTAAGGCAACCAACCTACTCTCCAAAGTCCCTTAAAGACAAGGATAGAGGGGGCTGGGGATTTAGCTCAGTAGCACAGTGCCTGCCTGGCAAGCGCAAGGTTGTAAGTTCGATTCCCAGTACCGGGGGGGAAAAAACAAAACAAACAAAACAAAAGACAAGGATAGACCCAACCTTGGAAGATTTGGTTTATGGAGTATCACTTTGGAAAGTGGGGTAAAGACTCTCAGTTCAGAGTCTGGCGGAGGCTTACAGAGGGCTACACTGAAGAAACCGAGCATTGAGCTGTGTCTGACTTTAAACATACCAGCACATCAGTTCATTAGGACAGAAAACCAGGAAATGCCTGAGGTTTCTCATCACTGAAGTCGGTGATTTATTCACTGGGGAGTTAGGTTAAAATAAAACCTAATTCTACAAATTAAGTGAAAAATGTTTAGCATGCAGTGATGTTAAAAGTTTCATTCTAGGAAGATCAAACAGGAAATATGTTTTTAATGATTGAGTATCTCAGGAAGAGGTTTGTGTTCAATAGCAAAGAAATAGCTGAGATTGTGTCATGAAGCTTCTAGATTAATTTAAAAAGACTTTTCCCACCACTAAGTTCAATGTCCCCACCCTCATACCCCTTTCTCCTGGTATTTGATTAAAGGATGTAACTAAGCTATGAATTTTTCTCAAAGTGACCAACCAGATCCCACTGTTTCTTTTAACTGTAAACAAAGATCACAGTTTTCTGGGTTCATTAACGACCACTTCCCCTGATGCTTTCCCTCCCCATCACCATCACCTGCTCCTTTCTCTACACTGTGACTCTCGAGCACCGTCTCCCTTACCCATCAGGACTGGAACCTGTTTTTTTTTTCTTTTGTCTTTTTGAGACAGGGTCTCCCCGTGCAGTTCAGGTTGGCCTTGAGTGCACTTTGTAACCCAAGCTGGTCTGGAACTCACAATGATTCTCCTGCCTCAGCCTCTCGAGTGCTGGGATTACAGGCATGCAATACCATGCCTGGCTGGAACCTGTTTTAAGTACAGGGATCTATCCTTCCTCCTTTACCTCATCTGCCCTGGCAAACACTCAATAACTCAATAAATACTTGCTGATGGAAGTAAGAAAGAAAAATGAGCATACAGTGCAAACCCTTGTCAGCATGACAAGGAAGGAAGACAAAACATTTAACAAAGTAGCAAAAAGAAAAACAACAACAACAACAACAAAGTAGCAACTCTCAGTCACTTTTCCAGTTTTTTCCCCAGCCCAAAAGAGCAGCTATGAATCCCAGGTCTCCTGATCTAACAGGAATAAAGCAGCTCTTCTGAAGAGGCTTTGGCAGCACATGCTCTAAGAGACTAGGGAGCACATACCACAGGCTCCAACTATTAACTGTTCATTCTCCTTGGGGACCAAAGTGCATGGGAGGGAGTCCTTGTCAGGCCAGCTCGGGGCAAAGCAATATTCTTAAAACATTCTAAAACACAATTTGTACTGACCACCTTTAGTCTAAGCCAACTAACAATGCTACTCAGAGCTTTTACCATTTCTTTAGCAGCTTCCAGATTATACTAAAACCAGCTTTACCAAGAATTAACTCATTGGGAAAGGACATTGTCCCTTCTTCCACCTTCTCTATAACATAAAACTTTCAAAATCTATACTTCCTCTCATTTGCCCAGCATCAAATAATGTCTGTTGGTCATAAATATCTAGTAGGGTACATACACTATCTTTGGTCTTACCCCCATAAAAAAGTCCTCTGGTGACTAAAGACAGCAGAAAACAAGCTGTTGAGGCCGATAACTTCTGACAAAGCAGTGACCATTGGAGAAGGCCCATGTCCTATCTCTGGCCTGTATATTACACTGCTGAAGAAATTATGAAATCATTTTCTTAGACCAACCATAGCCCGTGATCAAGACCCTACTCTATTTCCCAAAGTGAATCACCAGTAGTTAACAACACACAGTTAAGGAATTCAAGGAAAAAACTTTTAATTAATTAATAACACATAATTAGGGGAGCCTTCTCTTCTTAAAAAACACAAGCCCACAATTTATAAAAGGTATCAAAAGTCTGATTCAAGCAACTATGTAAAATTCAGAAAAGTAATGGTTTCACAACTAAATTAACATATGTAACTTTTCTCATAACCATAATCTGGTTTATCAGACATCTTAATTGTAGATGACTCCACAGTTTATTATGAGACACGTGAAAACTACTATTAAAAAGTATAATCAGGGGCTGGGTATTTAGCACAGCAGCACAGCACCTGCCTGGCAAGCGGAAGGTCGTGAGTTCGATTCCCAGTACCGGAGAAGAACCAACAAAAAAAGTATAATCAGAGCCTAAGAATGTATCAGTGGTAGAGCTTGGGCTTAACATGCGGAAGGCTGTGAATTCAATACCAGGCACCAGAAAAAGGGGACCACTGGCTGAGCTGTACAATGGTACTAGGTCATCCCACTATGCTACTTCTATGTTGCTTTAAATCTCAACATTCACAAGTCAAAAGCTTATATATATATATATATATTTTTTTTTTTTTGGGGGGGGGTTCTTTTCCCGTACCAGGAATCGAACTCACAACCTCGCACTTGCCAGGCAGGCGCTGTGCTGCTGAACTAAACCCCCAGCCTCTAATGCTTATATTTTTTAAAATGTAAACTTAGGTCAATTAGAGGGAAGAAAAAAAGAAAAGACATATGAGCCTCCTTTGTTGCATCACAGCAAAGTCAAGGTCCAACAGGGCAACTCTCCCTCTCTAGTCCATTCTTTTCAGGCTCTTTCCAGATCCTTACGTGCACCCACTGGAAGACGCAATGGGAAGAACCAGCTTGCCCAAGTAGAATGGTGCTGGAAATAATCCAGGTAACATATTACTGAGTTTTAAGTAGAGACCTTGGAACATTCTTGAGATTTGATCTCACCATCACAGAACTGAATTTCATAAACTATTATTTCAGGAAAAATCTTTGTATATTTTCTCATGTAGTAAAAACAGAGGGGCGCTGACATACCCCACTGAAACTATGAAAGTGGTTCTAAATCTGCCTTTCTAGGAGTTTGTGCTCTACCCCCACACCTCCAGAAACAGCCAGATTCATCAATGAAACATGACACCAAAATGTCTATGGACCTCTGGAGACAAAAGTCAAGCTATTTAAGACTTAAAACAACTGGAAGGAAGATGAAATTAAGTAAGTATCTTTGACTCTGTGTCTTTGCACTTTATGGGGGGAGGGCAGGCTACATTCTCTAACTGCAGCCTCAGAGAACCACAACCGAGCAGTATCAGTACTGTCCTCACCAACACCATAACAAGAGTAATGCTGATTTTTAGTGAAGTGTGGTTTGTCTTTGATGCTAACGACATTCCAATTTTGGCTTCCTGGGGGAGCAAATTCCACAGGTTGATTCATCGTTCTACTGCATTTGACTTTTATTTGCTCTTAAATCAAACCCTTCACAATTAAGCCTGGAGGTTTAAAAGAACATAAAGCAAAAGGGTCAGTAGTCTTTACCTCCGCTAGGGGGAAATTTTTAGATGCTAAGGGGAAATTTTCGGACCTGAAAAGACAGACGCCCGTTCAAGCCCCGGACTGGCACAGAGTGAAATCACCGCAAGTTAGCTGCAAGTGATCGAGGGAAATTGAGCCCTCACCTGGTTGAACTCCTCGTCGGCGTAGATATCGATGAGGTCCACTCCTTCTGACATGGCTCCGGAAGGACGATCTCGCGCCCCGAGAAGGGACAAAGTGAGAGAGACGCCACTGCAGTGTTCAGAGAGGGCGGCGATTAGCAGGCAGGAGGGTCCCGGGCGGGCAGGTGGCCCGGCTGCAGCCTCGCGTTCTGGAGCCGCGGCCCCGGCCCGGCCGGGCCC